TGCATTCATTACATACAGCAAGGTATGTACCAGGTGACAGTTGGTAAAGTACAGTCAGTGGCAAGGCTCACTTGTGACTGAGTGCACCTTTCTTCTGGAAGAAGCTGGTTACCTTTGAATTCCTAAGCCTGTGGTCTCTTACCCGTACACACTTCCTCCTGCTAAATCTTTCCTTCTGGGCCCAGCACGGTGGCCTAGTGGCTCAAGTTCTCGCCTCGAACAGTCCAGGATCTCATATGGGCGCTGGTTCTAATCACAGCAGCTCCATTTCCCATCCACCTCCCTGCTTGTGGCCTGGGAAAGCAGTCGAGGACGGCCCAAAGCCTTGGGACCCTGCACCCAAGTGGGAGCCCTGGAGGAAGTTCCTGTCTCCTGGCGTCTGATCGGCACAGCACTGGCCGGTGTGATCCCTTGGGGAGTGAATCATCGGACAAAGATCTTCCTCTCTGTATATCTGACTTTACAATTCAAAAAAATCTTTCCTGCTTATTTTGATTTTTTTTTGACCTTCCTGTCACCTCTGCCAGTTGCCTCCTCTGAAAGTAAAGGTCCTGGACTGTCTGGCGTCCTACCCTGAACCCTGCTCCCCCAGCCCTCCTGTTTGCTCTGGGCCAGCACATGGCTCAGTGGAGAGTCCTTACAAGTGCTGGGATTCTGTGAGGGCACAGAATGTTCCAACTGCTCCGTTTCCCATCCAGCTCCATGCCATGGAACCCTGCACCTGTGTGGGCAACCCGGAGGAGGCTGCTGGCTTCTGCCTCTGCATCGGCTGAGCTCTGGCTGTTGTGGCCGTTTGGGGAGTGAACCTGCAGATGAACCGTCTTTGTGTCTCCACTGTAAATCTGCCTTCCCAGTGAAAATAGATCTTAAAAAACAAATGAAGTGGGCCCGGCGCGGTGGCGCAAGTGGTTAAAGGTCCTCACCTTGCACGCCCGGGATCCCATATGGGCGCCGGTTCTAGTCCCGGCAGCCCCGCTTCCCTTCCAGCTCCCTGCCTGTGGCCTGGGAAAGCAGTCGAGGACGGCCCAAAGCTTTGGGAACCTGCACCCACGTGGGAGACCCGGAAGAGGCTCCTGGCTTAGGATCGGCATAGTATCGGCCCGTTGCGCTCACTTGGGGAGTGAATCATCGGACGGAAGATCTTCCTCTCTGTCTCTCCTCTCTGTATATCCGCCTTTCCAATGAAAAAATAATAAAAATAAATCTTTAAAAAAAAAAAAAAAAAAAAAAAACAAATGAAGTGACAGAGCTCTGCCAGCCTTCCCCAGCCCGGCAGGCCTCTCTGCTGTTTCCTCGGGCAGTCAGGGGCAGGCTCCTTTGGGCTAGGTGGGTAGAGGCCTTGCTGTTGTCCTTGACCCCTGTCCATTCCTGGCATTCTGCCAGCTCCGTCGTCATGTCAGAAACATGGCCAGTGTTCTCCACTCTCCCGCCTCCTCTGCCCTGGGTATTTCTGCACAGGAGCCTCTTGTCCGGCGTGCCTGTGTCTCCTGGCTGTGCGGGTGAAAGTTGCAGTCCCTTCTTCCCTGGTGGTGCCTGGTCTGGCTCTGCACTGTGCTGCAGCCACACCCTGGCACCTTCCTTGCCCAGGGGCTTCTGCATACCTGTGCCTAGATGGTGAGGCTCACTTCCTGCAGGTCTTAGTCCAAAGGCCCTTCCTGAACTGAGTGCTCCTGTCCCTCAGGGTCGCTGCCCCTCACCAGCTCAGTTCTGAACCTTGCACTGACCTGGTTGGCACCTGTCTCCCACACGGGAAGGCCCACTGCACAGGTCGGAGTTTCCCATTGTTTTCTTCATCCCTGTGTGCTGCGTGAGGTGCTGCTGGCTGGTGGTCACTGCTCTGCAGTGTCATCCAGAGCTCTGTGGAGATGTCTGTATTGTTTGATCCTTGGAGTAGCTGCTTGAGGGCTTGCCCATCCCTCGGCTCTCGTCCTGTCTGCGCAGGCATGCCATTTGCATGATGTGCCTGTGTGTGGGGATCCCACTGCTGCTCTGCTGGCCCACCCGGCCCGGGGGCTCGCCATCCACAGGGAGCTCACCGACGGCTCCCCGCTGCTGAGCGGCTGCCGTCCTGTGGCATCCTCCTCTGCTGTGCCCAGCCTTTGCCACTTGACGCCACAGCGCTGTGTCCCTGACACACTTGGGAAGCATTGCACACCCTGGGCGTGAGCTGGGGAGGACATAGAACGCCTGGTGATGCTGTCCTGCTCTCCGGAAACCCAACACGCTTGTTCTATGAAGGAGAGTGCCATACTGATGGCACCGAGGGGTATGTTCTCTTTAAGATTTCCCAAACCTGGGTAACTGTGGCTGGCAGCTAAGATGTCTACATCCGCTGTCGCACTGTCTGGATTCAGTTCCTGGATCCCTGCCCAATTCCAATTTCCTGCTGGTGCACACCCTGGGAGGCCTGGTTGGCTTCCAGCTTCTGCCTGGTCCAGTGCCAGCGTTGTAGATGTTAAGGAGTGCCTGGAAGATGGGGGTCTGTCTCCGTGCTGGTCTCCCCCTGTCTTTCTGCCTCTAAAAAAAAAAAAAAAAAAAAAAAAAAACTTCTTGTGTTTTTCATTCAAAGTTAGGCTCTGTCTACGCTGTAAGGTGTTGATCTCGTCCCCCGTAGGGTATGTCGTAATGTAACTTGTCAGGTGGGACGGGTTTAGTTGAGGTTGATGCAGTCCGCTTGGTTCTAAGATTCTGTCACCAGCATTGCTCACTGATGGTGTAACCTGTAGCTCGCGGATGTCACTGAGTCCTCAGCTTAAGGCAAGCATTTCAGTTGTATTTGGGAGACAGAAAACTCCCGTCCGCTGGTTACTCACTTCCCAGATGCTTCCACTGGCCTGGGGTGTGGGGCCGTAGCTCCCCACGTCACCAGCTGCTGTCTCTCGGCTCCCATGTAGGTAGGAAGTGAGTCAAGAGCCAAGGATGGACCAAGGACCTCCCAAATCCCTGACCTGCGTGTGAATGAAGGAACAGCAGGTTGGCCCTCTGGTCAGTGTTTGCCAGTTCCTGTCCTGTCTGCTCTACTTGCTCTCCCGCTGCCTGCTCACGCCCGGGGAAGCAGCACACGCTGGCCCAGGGGCCTGGGGCACGGCCGCCTCCTGTGTGGAATCTGCATGATGCTCCTGGCTCAGGGCTGGCGCAGCCCTGATTCTGTGGCCATCTTGGTAGCCAGCAGACAGTCTCTCTTCCTGTCTCTTTAACTCCTTCAAATAAATGAAAAACTTTAAAAACATTTATTTTTATTTGAAAGGAAGATTTTACAAAGAAAAGGAGAGACAAAGAAAGGTCTTCCATCTGCTGGTTCACTCCCCGGATGGCTGCAGTGACTGGAATGACTGGAGCTGAGCTGATCTGATACCAGGAACTTTATCTGGGTCTCTTATGTGGGTGCAGGGGCCCAAGGGCTTGGGCCGTCCTCGACTGCTTTCCTAGGCCACAAGCAGGGAGCTGGTTGGGAAGTGGGGCCGCCAGGACATGAACTGGTGCCCTTATGGGATATTGGTGCTGCAGACAGGATCAACCTGCCAGCGCGCTGGCCCTCACTGACGTTCTGGAGCCTGAGCCTGCCGTCTAAGCATCCTCATTCCAGGAATTACTTCAGTAATGAGATGGACAGTCTGCGTTCTCACCGCATTAGCTGCTAGATTAAGTTTGAGGCTACAGGGCCTGGCGTGGTAGCCTAGCTGCTAAAGTCCTTGTTTGCATGCACCAGGATCCTGTATGGGCACCGGTTCTAATCCCCATGGCCCCGCTTCCCATCCAGCTCCCTGCTTGTGGCCTGGGAAAGTAGTCGAGGACGACCCAAGCCCTTGGGCCCCTGCACCCACATGCGAGACCTAGAAGAGGTTCCTGGCTCCTGGATTCGGATCGGCACAGCTCTGGCCATTACAACCACTTGGGAAGTGAATCAACAGATGGAAGATCTTCCTCTCTGTCTCTCCTCCTCTCTGTATATCTGACTTTCCAGTGAAAATGAATAAATTTTTTTTTAAAGATTTATTTATTTATTTTTTTTTATTGGAAAGGCGGATATACAGAGAGGAGAGAGAGAGAGGAAGATCTTCCATCTGATGATTCACTCCCCAGGTGAGCGCAACGGGCCGATACTATGCCGATCCGAACCCAGGAGCCTCTTCCGGGTCTCCCACGCGGGTGCAGGGTCCCAAAGCTTTGGGCCGTCCTCGACTGCTTTCCCAGGCCACAGGCAGGGAGCTGGAAGGGAAGGGCTGCCGGGATTAGAACCGGCGCCCATATGGGATCCCGGGCGTGCAAGGCGAGGACCTTTAACCATTTGCACCACCGCGCCGGGCCCAAAATGAATAAATCTTTAAAAAAATAGTTTGAGGCTGCAAGTAAGATAAATTTAATCGCAAAGAAATTTCTTCAGTGATCTCATAGAATTGACGGAAAGTTTGAGAATGTGAGTAATTTTAAAACAGGATCTTATAAAAGGAGGCGCTGAACAGAACTGGAAGAGAAATTACCTGCTGTTGAGGCATGTTTTCGGGTTGGAGTGGAGGGCGTGCCCCAGGCCTCTTCCTGAACACTGAGACACTGAGACCACTGGAGGGGGTTAGGGTCCTGGTTGGGGATGTGCCCTGGGGGCGAGTTGTTAGTGGTGGGATTGGACACAGACCTGGTTGAGGCCTGACAGCCCCAGGCTGCAGGTGCCCGGCCGGCCTGGAGGCCCGTCAGTCCATGGCTCCGGGTGCCCCGCTGGCCTGGAGGCCCGTCAGTCCATGGTTCCAGATGCCCCGCTGGCCTGGAGGCCCATCAGTCCATGGCTCCGGGTGCCCCGCTGGCCTGGAGGCCCGTCAGTCCATGGCTCCGGGTGCCCCGCTGGCCTGGAGGCCCGTCAGTCCATGGCTCCGGGTGCCCTGCGGGCCGTGAGCATGTGCAGGCCCAGTGTGCTTCATTTTCCCTCGCCTGCATTTGCTCACTTCTCTCATTTGTTTTACCTTTTTCCCTGTTTAATGTGGCCTTCCAACTGTTGTCCCACGCAGGTAGCAGCAAGCAGTGTGTGTCAGGCTGCGTGGCCCCTTGTCCGGCGTGTGAGTCATCCCCTGCGTGTCACCGTGCCCTTGCAGACCCACCGCCCTCAGCCTCGTCGCCTGGTTCCGTGGTGCCCATGGGGCGGAGGACTCGCTCGCCGTGGCCCCAGTGAGAGCAGCCCTGTGCCCAACATGGAGAAGAAGCGGAGAAAGAAGTGAGAGCCTGTCTTGGCGCAGCGGCCCGGGATGTGCCTGCTGCCCGCGGCGGGCAGGACTGGGAGCCAGGACTGGGAGCCGGCTCTGCCCGATGCTGCAGCGCTCGCCTGAGCCGCCCCTGCGCTCCTGACTGGGAGCAGAGCAGTACAGTTGGATTTATGCGATTTTAGGACCGTATTCACTTAGGACCATGAAGCTTGTCAACATCTGGCTGCCTCTGCTGGTGTTTTTACTTTGTGGAAAGAAGCATCTGGGTGACCGACTGGAAAAGAAGTCTGTGGAGAGAGTGCCGTGTCCTGACTGCCCCCACCTGACTCTGAAGGTGGAATTCTCCTCTGCGGTTGTGGAGTCTGGTGAGGACTGTCCCTGCTGGGCCCGCCCCGGCCCGCTCTGGTTCCAGATTCACTGAGCTGCCGGGGAGGGTCCCCTGGCTGCAGGGTCCCCCTGGCTGCAGGGTTCCCCTGCGTTGCACCCGCCGCCTGGGTGTGAGCCTCGCCCGCACTTGTCTCCCAGTGCGGGTTGCTAGCGTGAACTAAGGGCGGTGGTCTCGGTACTCATTTACTCACAGCTGGGTTCAGGGCAGCACATGTTCACGTGCCAGGGCGGGCAGTTGGCCCTAGTGCCCGGGCTGCTGTGACCGTGTGGGAGGCTGGACAGAGCTCCTGGCTGCCTGGCCCAGCCCCGCTGTTGCCACCATCTGGGGAGTGAAGCAGTGGCTGCAAGACTTCCTTCCTGTTTCTGTTGCTCCCTTTCTATAATGTTGTCTTGTAGATAATTAAGTAAAAATTTTTTTAAAATCCCACACTGGAATTTTGATGTTTCTGGTCAAGCTAGCTAAGCATTCAGTCCTGAGTTTTGTTTTTCCTGTTTAAAAAACTTAGCTTTTGCTGTAGACTCAAATTTCTGCAGTTTAATTTTTTAAAATTATTTTTTATAATTTTTTAAGATTTATTTGATTTTCTTATTGAAAATGAGATATGCAGAGAGGAGGAGAGACGGAGGATGATTGACTCCGCAAGTGGCTGCAACGGCTGGAGCTGAGCTGATCCGAAGCCAGGAGCCAGGAGCCTCTTCTGGGTCTCCCACGGAGGTGCAAGGTCCCAAGGCTTTGGGCTGTCCTCCACTGCTTTCCCAGGCCACAAGCAGGGAGCTGGATGGGAAGTGCGGACAGATGGGATTAGAGCCGGCGTCCATATGGGATCCCGGTATATTCAAGACAAAGACTTTAGCCACTAAGCTAGAGCACCAGGCCCTGCAATTACATTTGAGCTAGTCTTTTTGTTTTCTGTTGTTTTCCACTATGTCCCTTTGGATACATACATTTTCTTTTACCAGTGACATTTTAGAGTATATATAATACATATTATGTGTAATTTCTTATTTTTATCTGTGATTATTGATTTCAGAATATATTGTGGCTTTCAATGGATACTTCACAGCCAAAGCTAGAAATTCATTTATTTCAAGTGCCCTGAAGAGCAGTGAGGTAGACAACTGGAGAATTATACCTCGAAACAACCCGTCCAGTGACTACCCAAGCGATTTTGAGGTGATTCAGATAAAAGAAAAACAGAAAGTGGGGCTGCTGACACTTGAAGACCACCCCAACATCAAACGGGTGACCCCCCAGCGCAAAGTCTTTCGCTCCCTGAAGTATACGGAGTGTGAGTACCGTGTGCCCAGGCTGTCCTCGCCCCTCCTCGGAGCCCTGAGAACGGCTGCCTGTGCCTGGCGGCCCTCAGGTCCCCGCTGGGGATTGTCCCCCTGGGAGTTTCTTATTTTATTGTTGAAAGATGCTCCATGCTGAGGGCTGGTGGGACGGGGGCGGGCCGGTGCCCAGCGGGCTGGTGCAGCACGGCTGCGTGGGTGGGCCGAGGGGCTTCCCAGACGCCCCGTCACTGGGGTCTTCGCGCCCCCCAGGAAAACGTGCCCTTGTGTCCTTCTTGCTTGGGTTTTGCTTCCCGGAGTGCATCCTTTTACGTGACACTTGCAGAAATGCCTTCTCCTGCCCGGATGGGAGGGAGCAGGCGTCACTGCTGGCAGGTGTGAGGGTGGCTCGGCCCAGGGTTTAACCCTTCCTGTTCCGGCATCATTGAGTTGTCAGGATTGTGCCTATTCACAGATAACAAGCCATGTTGTTTTCCAAAGCCATTGGTGTTACCGAAGGAAAGATTTTTTTTTTACCATTTGTTGTAAGCCAGGTTGACAGATTGTGTCTGAGGTTAAAGTCTTTTCTTTCATTGGAAGGAAAAGGAAAGGTTGCTTTTTGCAGCGTGCTAGGCCCAGGGCTGCTGAGAACACACAGCTCAGGCTCACGGCTGGGGCACCTGCCTGTTCCCGAGTCAGCTCCGCCTGACTGTGCTAATCACGGTGTGTGGCCACTTTACTCCTTGAAATGATCCAGAGGATGAATGCAAGTCACACTTACTGAGGTTGCCCGGATGCGTGTGCTGGCTTTGGGGAGCTTGGACTATCTCAGGGAGCCTGGAAGGAGCTGATCGTAACACGGGGTCATTACCAGCCCCGCCAATACCTGCAGGAAGTGCTCGGGCCTGCAGCTGCCCGGGAAACCACATGCTCACGGTGCCGAATGGGAATCTCTTCTCAGCTTTTATCAGTAGAATGCTTTGCTTTTCTGTCATCTAAATAACCTGTCTCGATTTAGGTTGCATCCACTTGGCCTTGTCCCACCAGCTGACACAGAACTGTTTCCACCAGACAGCGGTTAGAGATCTGTCGTTCTGGTGCTGGAGGAGCCCAGGCTGGCCCTTTTGGGGTGTTCCTTCTCTCCCAGTGCGTGTACCCTGTGGCTTCCCATGGTTACTTGTATGCATGCGTTCAAGCCCTGTTGTGATTTTAATGGTTTTTTTTCTCAAATATCGTTAAGCTGTTTTTATGGTGTGAAACCCAGACTGAATGCACATGGAACAGGCCTGTCCTTGGTCTTGGTGTTGCTCTCAATTAGTGACTCTGCTGTTGACTTAAAGCCGGAGCCAGCGTGGGGGTCGAGGGCAGAGCAGTTTCGGTTGACCTGTGCAAACAGTTACTGGACAGTCCTGCTGCTTGCATGGGTGGGGCCCAGTAAAGCTGCAGTAACAGTAATGGTGAGTGGCTTTACAAACGGCTGCAGTTCTCGGAACTCTTAAAACCAATCTGAAATAGAATTTGTTCTCATTATAACATGGACTTTGAAAGAGAAAAGGAAAATCGTGTGGTTTTTCTTTTCCCCTTGAAAAAGGATTTACAGATAGTAAAGTGCATTCTTTTAAGAGTTCAGCTTGACAAGTTTTGGCAAAGCATACAGAGATCCACTCACCAAGTCAGAATTACAGAGTAGCCCTGGCACCCTCAGAGATGTGCTCGCCCCCATTCCTCCAGAAATCTGGCGCTGTCCACCCTCAGGATCGGCTAGTGGCCATCTTCTCCAGTAGTTTTCCCTCTTCTGCTGGGTCAGTCTGCTGCCCGGGTGAGTGGTCCCAGCCAGCTGCCATGGCAGGTGCTTGCCCGCAGGTATCAGCTTCTTCCACACTCCCTCAACTAAAGATTTTCTTCAGTTTCAATATCACAGTTGCTTTAAAGATATTGTTTTGTCAGTTTGATTTTTTTTTAACATTTATTTTTATTGGAAAGTCAGATATACAGAGAGGAGGAGGGACAGCAACAGGGGGCTGGATAGGAAGCGAGGCACCAGGACACAAACCGGCACCCATATGGAATCCTCATGTGTGCAAGGCGAGGACTCTAGCTGTTAGGGTACTGCACCTGGCCCTGTTTTGTCAGTTTTATCTGCCTTACTTTGGTTAGAAAATTTTAAGAGCTGTTTGGGGAACAATGTGTTGACTCCATAATTGACACAGTTCTGCTGGGCAGTTCTGACACAGTTCTGTCTTGGACCTGCTGTTGCTGTATTCTGGGGGTGTTGTTTGTCCTCTTCTGATGTCGTCTTTCTCCTCCTTGATTCTAGCTGACCCCATTGCGCCCTGCAATGAAACTCGGTGGAGCCAGAAGTGGCAGTCCTCACGTCCCCTGCGAAGAGCCAGTCTCTCTCTGGGTTCTGGGTTCTGGCATGCCACGGGAAGGCACTCGAGTAGACGGCTGCTGAGAGCCATCCCGCGGCAGGTGGCGCAGACGCTGCAGGCAGACGTGCTCTGGCAGATGGGCTACACAGGTGTGTGGGACTTGACAGGAAGCGCTGTGAGGCTTGTGCGTCTGTCTGTCCTGCTCTGTGTTGGGCTGCGTGTGTGCTTTGTACCAAGCACCTGCTTCCAGGGCTTTTCTGATTGTAAGCACGAGGGCAGATTGGCACCACATGTGAACTGGTGCCGCGCTGCTTGCGGCCTGACAGGCTGGTGGCCTAAGAATGTCTGCGGTGTTTCGGGGAAGGAGGTCCAGGTCAGGCATGGGTGGCTGGCTGGGGGCAGTTCTGTGGAAACTGGTTCATCGCTGGAGTTGGGCTCGCTGTATGCAGAATGCCTCAGCCTTTGATGATCGCACTTGCTGGTGGTTTTGTTTCAGGAACAGGAAATAGCAGTGACCAGATGATAGGACACAAATACAATCCAGAGCCAGGGAGGTTCCTTCCTACAGATTGGTCACTCCTGTTGTGTCCCCATGAGACATCGGTCCTGGCCTTCAGATGTCAGCTGGTTGAGGGGTCTTTGCCAGGTCTCCCAGATTTCCCACCTCTGCTTTGGTTCTTTCAACCCTACCCTCAGAAGATCTGAGATATCTGAGATGCTTGAAAGCTTGTTAAACTTGTTGGATTTGGATTGATAGTTTACCAAAAAGGTTGTCCCCTACTGAAGTTGTGTTTTTAGAGTAAGAACTCTTTCACAAAAAGATTCCATGATCACCAGAAAAGTGTTTCTATTCCCTCCAAACTAAATCGATTCCAGTTCCATGGGTATAGTGTTTTTTTTTTTTTTTTTTTAATTGGAAAGGCACATTTGCAGAGAGGAGAGGCAGGCAGAGAGGAAGATCTTCTGTCCAGTGATTTACTGCCTGCCTGTGGCCTGGGAAAGCAGTCGAAGAATGCTTGGGACCCTGCACCCACGTGGGAGACCCGGAAGAGGCTCCTGGCTCCTGGTTTGAATCAGCTCAGTTCCGGCCATTGCGGCCGCTTAGGGAGTGAACCATCGGATGGAAGATCTTCCTCTCTGTAAATCTGCCTTTGCAATAAAAATAAGTAAATCTTAAGAAAAAAAAGTGGCAGGTATTTTAACTGTCAGTGCAGTTTATAACTGAATACAATGGTGATACCATAAGACATTGCACTGATTACATTAGCTAACTGTTAAGGCAAGTGTAAAGATTTATGTATTTATTTGGAAGGCATTGCAGCACAGAGAGAGAAAGGAAGAGACAGACAGATTCTGTCAGCTGGTTCACTGCCCGAATTGCTGGCAGCGTCAGTGGCTCTGTCCGGCCCAGGTGCTGGCAGCGTCGGTGGCTCTGTCCGGCCCAGGTGCTGGCAGCGTCAGTGGCTCTGTCCGGCCCAGGTGCTGGCAGCGTCGGTGGCTCTGTCCGGCCCGGGTGCTGGCAGCATCGGTGGCTCCGTCCGGCCCAGGTGCTGGCAGCATCGGTGGCTCCGTCTGGCCCGGGTGCTGGCAGCGTCGTGGCCCCCCAGGGCATCTGCTGCTGCGTTCGCAGGTGTGTAAGTAGGAGACTGAATGAGAGGAGGAGCATATGGATGCTGGCATCACGGTGCCACATGGCAGCCACACTCCAGAATGGTTCCAAGAAGCTGGTGGTAGGTGACATCGGCGCAGCTGGCTTTTGGCCAGTATCTGAAATGCCTCCTCCTGTTAGAAACGTGATTTTCTTTGAGCTGCTGAGCCCTGCCTGTTGTTTCCGTTATCCTGAGAATGTGATGGAAGTTGCCCTCCTTGCCAGGAACAAGGAAGGCTTCCTCCTCTCTTTTTGCTGCAGCCTGTGTGTGGGAGACTCCTGAGGTGACGGCCATGAACACCTGTCCATCAGCCTCGGGGAGCCCCTGCAGGGCATGGGGCTCCTTTTCTGTGTGTTGCCATATGAGAGGAGGGTCTGAGCGATTTCCGGTTTCATCTGGTTTCTCGTTCCCTGGAGGGCTCAGCCTTGTGGGCCTCTGGAGCCCTCGGGTGTCTTCTGTTTCTTGTTATGTTCTCTGGATCCTAGGGAACAAGGGGAGATGTTTTTTAGTGAGGCGCAGAGGGAGCGCCTCTCTGGTTCCCGCCCCGCATGTCCGCAGTGGCTAGGAGCCGGGAGTTCCGTTCCGGTTTCCCACACAGATAATAGGGCTCCAGTTACTTGGGTTACTGCTGCTGCCTCCTGGGGTCTGTGTTAGCAGGAGGCCAAAGTCAGGAGCCAGAGCTGGTATTCTAGTGTGGGATTCAGGCCTTGTGACTACTGAGCTAAAGGCCTGCCCTAGTAACACATTTTGTAAACCAAAATTGAAAAGTTGATTTTTCTGAATCTGATTATTCTTAATTTTTTTTGGAATAAGGTGCTAATGTAAGAGTGGCTGTTTTTGACACTGGGCTAAGCGAGAAGCATCCCCACTTTAAAAATGTAAAGGAGAGAACCAACTGGACTAATGAGCGAACGCTGGATGATGGTGAGTCCCAGCACGGCGGGCCCGCAGGGCAGCACCCTGTCCTCTGCTTCCTGGGCCCGCGGGTTGCCAGCAGCAGGTGCTTGGACAGACTCCTGTTGTTACCGCCCTGGAGATGTCTGAGGACATGGGGAATCAGAGGAGGGAGGGCCTGGCAGAGTGCCTCCTGCTCTGGATGAGAAGAGTGGCCAGGCCCCGGAGGAGGCCGGGAGAGGGTGGGGGCACGGCCCCTGGGGGCGGGCGGGCTGCAGTGCTGACTGCTGTGCGTGCTGCTGTTTAACTTTTCCCTCTGTGGTAACAGGTTTGGGCCATGGCACGTTCGTGGCAGGTGTGATAGCCAGTATGCGGGAGTGCCAAGGATTTGCCCCAGATGCAGAACTTCATATTTTCAGGGTCTTTACTAATAATCAGGTAGGTGTTTGAGAACCTCTGAAACTTTGAAGGTGAGTGAAAGCATTGTGGAAGGGGCCAGTGTTGCGACACAGTGGGTTAAGCTGCTGCTTGGGATGGCAAGGCGTCAGGGCACTGATCTGAATCTCAGCTGCTTCTGATCCATTTCCCTGCGAATGTGCCTGGGAAGCAGCAGTTGATACTTTGAATACTTGAGTTGCTTCCTCCCTTACGGGAGACCAGAAGGGGTATCTGTCGTGAACACTGAGCCTAGTTACTCGAACAAACGCCACGAGTCGAGAGAGTGGATGCTTTGCGATCAAGCGCTTATTCAAGTGAGCACACTCCGAACAGGACGGGGGAAGCCACTGAGAGCGCCCTTGACTTCAGTCTTGTGGAAGCCTGCTGGGCTCAGTGACTGGGACCAAGACATGGGTTTTTATACAATTCAGGGAGTCAGGCAAGCAGTTGTTACAATGTTTTGATTGATTATTACATGTTATCTATCAGCAACACTTGCTTTCTCTTAGTTCTGAGAAACATGTTTTTTACATATTTATCAAGACACATTTTCTTCTTCTTTTATCATTTTTACCATAACTTTTCTTTTTTATGACATGCTTACGTACATTAGGGCTTTGTAACAGGAGTGAGAGGGGAGGGCTCACGCACATTGGAGCTTCTTGACAAGGATAAGGGCGGGCTTGCACACAGGGGAGTCTGACAGGAGGATAGGAGAGGGGCCCCATTTCCCCAGTAGCTTAGGAAGATGGAGTCACCTCTGTTCAAAAGCTCCAACATACACACTCTACCCATTATTAAGTCACAGCGTAACTTACAGAAAAGTCTATTATTGTAGCTATTTCTGGGTCATCAATCTCAGATAAAAGTGTAGTGATATTAAGGATATAATTAAGATTATTGATAATATTACTACCCATATTTCCCAAGGAGTCATTTTTATCTATACCCATTTAAGCATGTATTGATGGAGCAGTGTAGATGCAGATGGGAATACCTTAAAAAAAAGATGCGGGCCCGGCAGCGTGGTCTAGCGGCTCAAGTCCTCGCCTTGAATGCTCCGGGATCCCATATGGGCACCGATTCTAATCCCGGCAGCTCCACTTCCCATCCAGCTCCCTGCCTGTGGCCTGGGAAAGCAGTGGAGGACGGCCCCAAAGCCTTGGGTCCCTGCACCCTCGTGGGAGACCCAGAAGAGGTTCCTGGATCCTGGCTCCTGGCTCCGGATTGGCGCAGCACCGGCTGTCGTGGTCACTTGGGGAGTGATTCATTGGACGGAAGATCTTCCTCTCTGTATATCTGACTTTGTAATAAAAATAAATAAATAAGTCCTTAAAAAAAAGAAGAAAGAAAAAGATGCATTTAACTATTTGAAAGAAGGACAGAGAAGAAGGAAAAAGAAAGAATATGTCCCTTTTGTTAGTTCATTCTCCAGATGGCTTCAGTGACTGGGTCTGGGCCAGGCTGAAGCCAGGAGCTGGAAGCTTGATTTGAATCTCCCATTTGAGTGGCGGGCCCTGTCCTTGGGCCTTCTGCTTTTCCCAGGCTATTAGCAGGCAGCTAATTTGAAAGTGGAGCAGCCAGGATGCAGACTGGCACTGTATGGGATGCTGGTGTCATAGGTGGCAGCTCTTCCTGCAACAGAGCCAGTGCTGACCCCTAGAACCCCTCCACTACCCACGCCCAGTGCACAGCCACGCCTGCCGGTGACGCTGAGCTGCCCACTCTCCTTCGCTGTTCCTGGCCTTTCCTGGCGCCTGCTCTTTGCCTGTCACCTCTCTGCCTTACTTGGCTCTCAGACGCTGACCTGAGGCCACTGTGCACAGGAGTAGCTTGATGGCGCCTTCTCCCTCGTGTCCCGTCTTGACCCTGACCTGCTGGCGGTCCGTTGTGTGTGTGCTGATTGGGTTCCTGGCTTGGAGGTCGGGACTGGGCTGCTGACCTCTGCCCCAGCGCCGGTAGGGTCACTCACGTCATTTGGGCACTCTGGGAAGAGAGAAGACACTATGACCTGTCTGCTTTTGTTTCGATTGCCTTGTATGTGGCTCAAAGACATCCAAAGTCAGCCTGTTCCCACCCAGAAGGTTACTGCCTCACTCCATATTTGTCAAGTATATTTTTCTTAACTTCTTACGCCTCCTCATAGTAGGATTTCTTTTGTTTGTATAAGCAAATGTAAATGCATAGGCTTAGTTTTAAAAGTCTGTAAAAACCAATTCTTAGTCACGTCACCATATTGCCTCTCTTCCTGCTGTAAACTTAGTATGTAGAAGAACGAAGTAGTGATTCACAAGTAATTTGACTTCTGTAAGGACAGTAAGAAAAGTTACAGCTTAGAGAAATGAGGCTGTGTGCTGCTGCTGCTGCTGTTTCTCCCGCAGTCTCCGGGAAGCAGGAGCAGTGGACAGCTGCACTACGCTGGCGGCAGTGTCTTAGGGCCGGGCTCTGGGCTGGGCTGGCTCCAGGACTCAGGTCTGTGCGTGTGGCGCTTGACTTGCCAAATGCACCTGGGAGTCAATTTGATTTTAATTTAAACCACGACGAGACATACTTCATGCATTGAAGAATGCATTGAAGAACGCATTGAAGAATCTGATTTTGTCCTTAGAAATAGACACAGCATTTTAAAATGTTCCCTACAACCCTGAGGAGATGGTTTTGCTGTAACTAGGTCTCCTACACGTCTTGGTTTTTGGACGCATTCAACTACGCCATCTTGAAGAAAATTGATGTGCTCAACCTGAGCATTGGTGGCCCCGACTTCATGGATCACCCCTTTGTGGACAAGGTTGGTCGGGCTCCTCTCATCCTGCCTGCTGCCATGGCGTGGCTCCCCCGACGGCCATGCTGGGAGGACAGATGGGGGCCGCACTTGGTGTCCTGCAAGTCACACATCGGGTGGGTTTGAGGCTGGGGGCCGCGTGTGTGAGGAGTGAGTGTTCTTACCTAAACCTGTGGCCAGGGAGCCAGCCTGCTCTGTGCAGTGCACGCTGCTGTGGTCCAGGTGTGTCCCTCACCCCTGTGCTGGCCACTGCATATGGGGGCACTGCTGCTGGTTTGTAGGACTGTGGTTAGAAGTTGATGAGTTTTTTGAACAATTGTTTTTTAAATGTTATACTTTCATTAAACAACTGAACTCTTGCTGATTGGCAGGTGTGGGAGTTAACGGCTAACAATGTGATCATGGTTTCTGCCATCGGCAACGACGGCCCTCTCTATGGGTAAGCAGCTGCTGCAGCGGCAGCTTCCGGGGTGACTTCTCCCTGCAGGGACTGCGGAGCTGTCTCTGCCAGCGGGCGCCTGGTCCTGCCTGTCTGAGTAACCATTGTGGGCATTTCCTGCTTTAAAAAAGTTGAACCTGTGTGAGGAATGCCCTGGTACTCTCTGCTGGCTTCCGCAGTTGTCAGCTCAAGACTGGCTGCTTTCTGTTGAATTTTTCAAAGATCTTTGTTGTAAATAGTAATTTGCAGGCTTTAAGATTTTATTCCAACTACTTTTTTCCTCCAAAAAGAATAAGTCTGTTAGAGATGTGTGGGTTCTTCAGTGTTTGTTGACCCTGCGGGTACCAAGTGCAGGGCTATGGGGACAATACATGAGATGCCCAACTTCCTGTGAGGGGGCAGGTGTGGACAGAGCTGCAGGGCATGGCTGCCAGGGAAGCAGGTGCCAAGGGTCCTGTAGATGAGCTGCTGCTTCAGGAGTTAGGGAGAGGGCATCGAGCACTTTGCAGAAGGGCGCCTTTGTGCCAGGCTCTTGGCAGTGCACTCAGGAGTGTGGGATGAGGCTCTGGCAGGCATGGCGACACGCTTGAGGGCAGACATGTGCCAGCCTGCTGTCTGCTGCAGCTCTGATTTGACCTGTCGGCAGACCACATGGACCTGTGCTGACACACCTGTGTAGGTAGAGTTCTCACACTGCTTACGGGTGCCTAGGGCTTGTGCAGGTGAGGACCGTGAGGGAAGATTGCAGTGTGTGTGCGTCACGCAGTAGTCTGGGAGAGACTGCAGCCCCTACTGTGTGCCTCTGTGCTCCCACGAGCGGGGTGTGTGCCTGTCACAGTGTGGACACCCCAGGAGAACCTGCTGAGGGAAGGCAAGGTGTCGTGAAGACCGGCTGAGCTTAATGTCCAGGGCGCGCTGTGCGGCTCAGCTGGGTGAAGGTGGTGACTGTGAGTCAGAGTATGGGCTTGGCAGTCATGTGCTTCCAGCCTCATGGTTCCGAGAGTGAGCCTGTCCCCTTGTGAGAGGCCCTGGGTTCTGCATTTGGCTGTGGCGTCAGTGAGTCCCCTCTTTTGTCTGCTCTAGCACAGGCTGGGCTGGGCTGGACTGTGGCACTGACTGACACCGCGGGTAGCGAGTCCCACACTTCTGAGCCTTGGCTTCCTTGCTGGTCCAGGTGCACGTGGCCTGTATGTGGCAAGGGAGGATGAAGGTGGGCAGTGGGCAAAAAGCACTGTGTGGATCAGTGCCTGCTGAGTGGGTCCTTTTCCTCGTTTCTGCCGTTGGAACATAGAGGATTCTAGGAGTGTCCTGTTGAGGAGCTGCGCAGGTCGTATCCTGTCTGGTAGATGAAATAGCTTTCTTGTTTTCAGAGCCTCTCTTGGAATGGCGGACGTCCTCTGTGAAGGCTCAGAGTAGATATTTCACATCGTGGTGGCCTTGCAGCCTCCGTTGCACCTGCTCCCCTCGGCTGTTGTAATGTCTTAGCATGGTCATGCTCAGGTAGAGCTGGTTCCGGAGCAGATGAGCCAGCAGCCGTGGTCCGGCTCCAGCCACATTCTGTCGCCCTGTTTGTTTCCCACTGCTCCATGCATGACTTGCTCAGACCTGGTGTCCCCGTGTGTCTACAGTTGGACCTGTTTATCTCTGGCTCCAACTTTGTGCCTGGGCACACCTGTCAGATGGCCAGCCTTCCGTGTTGCACTGCCCTCCAGGAACCCAGAGGTGTGTGTGACAGTTGATCTTGGTGGCTTCTAATCAGAGAATGAATTCACAGCATTACAGGAGAAAAATATGGGGAGGAAGGCCGCGTCTCCACCACCCACACCTGCATGTCTGCTGCCTGTCTCTCAGGGCAGTGGGAACTGGTGCATGGTCACATCCGCCCTGTTTTACTATTCAGGACAGTAGGACTGTCCCTAGCGGGAGTTGGGGGACAGTGGCGTGTTGCTGTCTGTGTGTCTGGACCCCTCCCCCTTGATTGCGGCTGCAGCTCTGCTGTTTCCCAGCTCTGCATGCTTTCCCTTGCGTTTCCAGGGTGGGAAGCACACCCAGTATTGCAGTGATTGGCAGCTGGAGGGAAGGGAGCCTTTTCATCGGTTCCCTCGGGAGGCTCTGTCAGGGACTCCTTCCGTGCGCTGCGTCGGTTCCGCTCGGGAACACTAGGTGGGGCAGTGCCATGCTGCTCCGGCGCTGGCAGTCATAGGTGTCTGCTGAGATCTGTCACCCGGGCTCAGAGTGTTCCTTCGTGAAGCTTTCAGATGCAGCTTTGTAACCGCTTCATACTTTTAATTATTTTAGCTTCATTTTGATGTTATAGTTGTGTTTGTGTCATTATTGATCTCAGTGTAATTTGTTTGCACATGGAGTGCTTTTGCGGTTTTGTTGGCATCTTGAGTCTTTCCTCTAAGGAGCTCTGGGTGGCAGAGGAGCAGCAGGTCACCTGAGCCATGCTCCAGAAGGCCAGACCGTCCTCTGCTGCTTTACCAGGCCCTTAGCCGGGGCCGAGTAGGGGTTGGAGCAGCTGGGACATGACCGGCACCCATTTAGGATGCCAGCATTGTAGCTAATGGCTTCACCTGCCCGTGGGTGTGGTTTCCTTCCAGAGAAATGCCTCATTTAGTTGGGGAAGAAAAGCAATTGTGGGAATGGTGTGAGAATGGTGTGGTTTGTGTAGTTAGGGCTAGCGTGTGATTGTGTTAAGTTCTGTGTGGTTAGGTGCTGGCGTGTGGTCGTGTTAAGTCCTGTGTGGTTAGGTGCTGGCGTGTAGTCGTGTTAAGTTCTGTGTGGTTAGGTGCTGGCGTGTGGTCATGTTAAGTCCTGTGTGGTTTGGGACAAGAGCCTCCTGAAAGCCTGCAGTGGTGTGGGAGAGGTGAGCCTCAAGCTGGGTCTGCGTGATGGGGGACACAGGGAGGGGACGGCGGGAGGAGGAGCACTCCAGGTGAGAGGGCGCTCGAAGGGGGCGAGGCCCAGCCTTCCCCGGGACCCTGTGAGGAGCAGGGCTCGGCCGCAGGCGTGCACGGCTTGCCGGAGAAATGAAACCTCAGACTTCTGTGGGAGCATGTGGCCTTGTGGGAATTACTCACTTCAAATGATTTTCCTCCCTTGTTTTTTGTCTCCATTTAGCACACTAAACAACCCTGCCGACCAGATGGATGTGATTGGAGTAGGTGGCATTGATTTTGAAGACAACATTGCCCGCTTTTCCTCCCGAGGAATGACCACCTGGGTATGCCCTGCTGAGTTGGTTTCTTGCGGTAGACTGCCCTCCTTGCAGACCGAATGGCCAGAGACCAAGCCCTTGTGCGGCCTCACTCTGGAAGCCGAGAGCTGCTGGGCAGTCTGTCCGAGGGCTGACTCCAGGCTCGTGCTTGTAGGTCATTTGTGACTTACTCCCTCTCTGGTGAGTGGAGTCATGCTCCTAGCAGCTGGACGAGGCAGAGGCGGGCACCAAGAGACCTTCCAACTGGAGGAGGCAGCCCTCCTCAACGCTTCTTGTTTGTTGTGTTTGGCCTTCAGGAATAGAAGCCAGTGTGAGCATTTTATTATCTATTCTGCTGACTTACAGGCAGTTGTGTCTAGCTGGGTGGGACAGTCATTCCAACAAGGTCGTAATTCACCCATCAAGGTAAAGCTTGGTTCAGAGCCACATGCTCCCGCCAAGCAGTGCTCAGGTGGCACCCTCTAGTGTTCTGAATCAGGTAGTCTCTTGGTGCCCTAACCTGGCATGTGCCCAGTGCAGGGTCTCATGTGGGTCTCTGGAAAGATTCATGACATTCGGAACACAGTGGGGTTTGAGTACACCTACAGTGCTTTGTGGGATAGCCTTCCAGTTGGGTGTTAGTCAGACCCAGGGCGGCTCTTGGCTCCTGGCCTCTTACCCTGCCCCTGGCCATGACCCCTGAGATGCGGAGTGTGGTTCACCTGTGTGACAGCCAGCCCCACACTGTGCTGTGCATCCTTGGTCTGGCACGTACAGAGCGCTTGCCCTGGGCTTTGTTCTGTCCTTGGCCTTCACCACTGGCTTGGGTTTTTGTTTTTAAAGATTTATTTTTTATTTATTTGAAATGCAAAGTTAGGAGGGACACAAACACACAGAGAAAGGTCTTCCATTCACCAATGTGCTCTCTGGATGACCACAGTGACTGGAGCTAGGCAAGGCCAAAGCCAAAGCTGGTCTCTTCTTCTGGGTCTTTCACATGGGTGCAGGGGCCCAAGGACCTGGGCCGTCTTCTGCTGCTTTCTCAGGTATATTAGCAGGGAGCTGGATCCGAGGTGAAGCTGCCGGGACTTGAACTGGTGCCCGTGTGGGATGTCAGTGTCCCGGTAGTGGCTTAACTTGCTGCACTGTAGTGCTGGCCCCTGGGACTGACTTTTTTCTTTTTTTAAGATTTATTTATTGTTTTTCTTGGTAAATCAGATTTACAGAGAGAAGGTCCACTGGTTCACTGCCCAAGTAGCCGCAGTGACCAGAGCTGAGCCAATCCAAAGCCAGGAGCCAGGAGCTTCTTCTGGGTCTCCTACATGGGTGCAGGGTCCCAAGGCTTTGGGCCGTTCTCAACTGCCTTCCCAGGTGACAAGCAGGGAGCTGGATGGGAAGCAGGGCTGCTGGGATATGAAGTGGTGCCCATATGGGATCCTGCTGCAAGCGAGGCAAGGACTTTGATTTAGCCACTAGGTTACTGTGCCAGACCCGGGGCTGACTTTTTAAGGGCCTCTACAGAGCGTGTGTCTGCCAGGAAAGGCTTTCCACCTGGAGTCGGGGGATGTGGCTCTGACAGCGGGAGATCCTGTGTCCTGCCCTGTTTCCAGAAAGCTTGAGGGGGCACTCACAGGAGCAGCCCGGTTATCCTGTCATTCGGAGTGCCCAGTCACGCCACGGCAGCAGGTAGCCGCGGCCGTGGGTGCCTAAGGTCTGACTTCTGTTGTAAAGAAGCATCTTTGATTCTTGTCCTGTTTATTTAATTCTGAATTTTCTAATGTATTTCTAGTTGTTAATTTATCTAGAAATAAAGCAGTTTTCAGTGTCTAGTATTAATGATAAGACAGTGGGCAATTTTCTAGTCTTTGAACTTAGCAAGATTGAATTTTAGTTTTAGTTTTATAGCCTTGCTCTTGTGCTGGCTATCATAAAACATGCCAGCAATAATAATTTGTATTATTGTATTAATTTGTCTAAACTTCTAGTTTGAGTGAATCTTGAGGTGGTGCTGTGTTAAAGTCACTCTCGCTTGTCCTCTGAGTAACAGGCAGCCAAGGTGTGCCCTGTCGAAACCAAGCTGCTTTGTTCATAGGAGCTGCCAGGAGGTTATGGGCGCGTGAAACCGGACATCGTCACCTTTGGCGCTGGAGTGCGGGGTTCTGGCGTGAAAGAGGGCTGCCGCGCCCTCTCCGGGACCAGCGTCGCCTCTCCAGTGGTGGCGGGTGCTGTCACCTTGTTAGTGAGGTGAGTGCTGCTCAGCCGCCCAGCAGGTGTGCTGGGGCCCAGAGGGAGAGGACTGGGCTTGGTGGCTGGCTGGTGCTGTTTGCACTGCCGGGTGGCCAGCTGGTGTGTGTAAAGCAGAGGCAGCCACAGGCGCACAGCAAAGGCAGGATGACCTGTTCTCTTGTGTTCTTTGGTGTGTGTTTGTCATTTGTGTGTGCTGGAGCTGTGCTTTCTAGCCACATAATGTGTGTATACAGCAGGGAACAAAAGTAGACTCTCTGCCTCCCTCCCTTTCCTTACAGGCTCATTGTTCTAAGAAAGTGTTACTGTATTTATTTGAAAGGCAAAGTTAGATCCTCCATCTGCTGGCTTACTCCCTAAATGACCGCAGTAAAGGGGGTTGGACTAGGCCAAAGCTGGAGTCTGGGGCGCCATGTGGGTCTCCCATGTTGGCCCCGGTGCACCAGCAGGGAGTTGATCAGAAGTCATACAGCCAGGACTTGAATTGGCACTCATATGGTGCCAGTGTCACAGGCCATGGCTTAACTCACTGTGCTGATTTTTCTTCATGGCCCCATTGCCTTTTTCTCCATGAAGTGAGTGGTTTCTGGCGTGAGGTTATGAGGAACATAAATAGGTAGTTACTGTGGTGCAGCCAAGTAGTACCTCCCGTAGTGACCTGTTTGGTTTTGCTGTCCCGCCAAAGCCAGGTCCTGACCACTCCTCCAGGAGAAGGCAGGTCGGGTGTGCCTGGGGACAGCAGCACGCCCACAGTCATGTGGCTCTGTTCCTCATGCTTGGTTCTGACAAGGTTTGTCTTTGAAGCTAGCACTTATTTTGTCCCTATTTCCCTCTTGTCTATCTAGGTGAGGTCTTAGATGAGCTCTGCGTATTTGAAATTTATATCCTATGCTAATTTAAAAGTGAAATTACATTTAAAATTCTTTTTAGCATTGCTTGAGTGTTGGGAGTTTTGGTTCCCACTGCAGATAGCTTGGTCCCTGTTTCCTGCTTTCACATCCTTCCCTTCCATGTCAAAGGCAAACTCTTGAAAATGTTGACCTTGGCCGGAGTCGTCTTTGGAGAGTGACCATACACTTGCTTGGAATACAGTCTCTCCCTGGGTTGGGAGACGTGGGAAAAGGGCAAGGAGAGGTGGATCGGCTGTAACTTGGCTCTCTCAGGCCTTTTTATTTGCCAGGTAGAAGGAATTCAGCAAGGTCTGCGGTTTCTAACCTGATTGGTTGTAGAAACCAAAAATGGGGGGCTCATGGCTGTCCCCCGCCATGTGTGTTGGCAGGCAGGGAAGGTCCAGACCCACCACTGGGCCCCTCCGGAGGGAGCTGCGCAGTGATGTGAGGGGAAGGCCGTGTCCTGTCGCTGAGTCCGGATATTTTCAGCATCAAGGAAGCCTTCACCCTTCTCATCTGCAGCAGATAAAATGCCACTGAGATTGTTGAGAAGCGCCTGGCAGGCTTGACAATAGCTCACAGTGGAGGCCGGGCAACAAGGAAGTGGAACCTAACCTTTGATTTTGCTTTATGGGCTGGAAGAGGGGAAGATGGTTGACCTATAGCTTGCAGCAGTGCTTTTATCCTGCCATTAAGAATTAATGCGCCTTTATCTGCTCTTCTGTGTCGTGCTTCCCCTTTAGAAAGCAAACACCATCTGCAGAAATGGATGAGACTCAGGAAGGTTTGCTTTGTCTGCTGTCTCTCCCCTCAATTTAGGGATTAAAATGTATTCGTATTTATTCCTGTGGCTTTGCAGGAATGGATAGTTAGTGCCAGCGTTGGCTGTTCAAGTTGGTTCCGATGCGGCCTGCCAAGGCTCTGGAGGTGGGCTCAGCTCTGCACCCTGCTCCCGGGTGTTCTCTGCCAGGGCGAGCCGTCCCTTCCGCCCCTCAGATCCACAGTGGGAAAGCCCAGGCCCCCAGACCTGGTGTCCCTGACACTGCTGCCTCACGTGCTCTCTCCCAGCAGCCTTCTCCCTTACCAGCAAGCTCCCCCTGCTTGGGAACCTGTGCCCTTACCTAGTCTTGCCTCCTTCAGCCTGTGTGGTCAGTTAATTGAATTACTAGAAAAATGTGTGTTACCAATACATTGAACACGAAAGCACTAGTGCACAGAAGCCGTGTGGTCCGAGGGGGCTGCCCTGTGTGGGCCCAGCAGATGGGGAACAAGGTTGGCGGCCTCGTGTTGGCAGGGTGGGGTCTGATGTTCTTTTATTCAGAGAAAATGAGCACATGCCTGGTTTCCCCCTCAGCACGGTGCAGAAGCGGGAGCTGGTGAACCCTGCCAGCATGAAGCAGGCCCTCATCGCGTCGGCCCGCAGACTTCCTGGCGTCAATATGTTTGAGCAAGGCCATGGCAAGCTGGATCTACTCAGGGCCTACCAGATCCTCAACAGCTACAAGCCACAGGCAAGGTCAGTGTGCTGCTTCTCGGTGAGGGGTTCGCTGTGCACAGGAGCTCGTCCTTGAACCCCAGCCGCCACTGAGCAGGGCCCCGGTGCACAGTGTGTGTCTCACCGCTGTGCCGGGGTGCTGGCCAGCCACGCTCGTCACCGCTTCAGATGTTTAATGTATGGCGTCACAAATAATTGCCTCCTTTCTAGAAAGAGTGGGTAGTAATCTTGGGGTGACTGAGGTGGTTCTCCAGTGCCCTTGGGCTGGCTTCCCCTGGTGCAGCTGGCTGTTGGAATGAGTGAGTTCACGCTCACTGCGTGTCCTTAGGAAGCCATGCGTCACTCCTTTCTCCCGGTCTCCTTCTCTTGGTCTTTGTCCTGCAGGATTTGGGCTCCCACAGCATGGTGTTTTGGGGGGTCACCTTGCTTGCCTTTGACCTTTGGCACCTACTCTTATTCCTGTTCAGCTTGTACTTTGGAGCCTGCTGCTTGCTTGTTTGTAAACTGTCCTTTGATGTGGGTTTATCTGGTCTTTTCTCATGATGGTTTTACATCTGAGTTTTTGAAAACCAACACTTGTTTTGAGATGGTTCCGGAGTTACAGCGGAGTTTGATAAATACTAACTAGCCGAGCACCCTTACGATGCAGCTTTCCTGATGTTAACATGTGTAACTACGGAACAAGCTTCAAAATGTGATAGAATGCTGTGGACCAGTTACAGGCTTGGTTCAGATCTGACGCCCTGTCCCAGTCAGAGCATTGCTTGGGAACTGAACCAAGATCTGAGGCTGAGTTCAGTTTCACATTTGCTTGGATTTGTTCCTCAGTCACCGTCTTCTCAGTGGTATTCATTTCCGTTGTTTGAGTAGTGTCACTCTGGGCCAACACTAGTGTAGTCATGCAAGAGATTGACTGGGGGAAGACGCAGCCTGGTGAGGGTGAAGGAAGGGAGCAGGGAGAGGAGGGGAGAGCCGCTGAGTGTGCGGTGCTGAGAGGGTGTGGACACCTGGGGGGGTGGTAACCTGTAGGAGTGGGTCCTGAGAGGCTGGCCAGCCGGAGGTGTGGATCTGGAGGGAAGTAGTTGCTGTGTTAGCAGCAGGTGCAGCTCAGTTTGCTGTGGCCTGGGTGCCCTCTGCAGCTGGGTGCCCTCTGCAGCTGCCGAACTGGTGTGTGTGTGTCCCTGTTTCTGTGTCGGTTCCTCTGTGTATGTAGTGGAATCATGAATTCCTGCTGCTGTTAACATCGGTGTTCATTGTAGCCCTCCCTCTGCTTGTCTGTAGCTCCCCACTGCTCAGACAGCTGGCACTCACCATTGCAGTGTGTTTTCATATTTGCTTGGTCCTGGTGTAGTGTATACCATCCATCAGTTCTAGAATTACCAACCCATCCCCTGGTGGAGAGCAGATTGACGAGCTAGATAGAGAATGGTATTTCTGTAAGGTGTTTTGTGTCCTTGGCCTTACTGAATAGAATCTGTTTTTGAATGTTCCTCAGGTAATTATTTTCTTTCATTTTTAGTGCTGATGGGCTCATTTGTTATTGTTTGCTCCCGTCTGACTTGGTTGTTAGCTCCTGACTGGTCGTGGCCAGAGCTCCACACAGGTGCGCCCTGCAGTCCGCCCGTGCTTCCGGGCGGCCTGTGTGTTAACATGCATTTTTAGTTGGCACTCGACTTCCTTTCTGTGTGCCGGAAGACGTGTGGAGCAGAGCTCCTTGCCGTGCCCTGGGGACGGGGCCGTCACTCCTTCCCTCGCGCGGCCGAGCTCGTCTCCTGTGCTGCGTGCTCTGAGTGCTCTGGGCTTTATCCCTCCCACTGATTACATGGAAGGGTTTGTTTTTTTTTTTAATGGATTTGTATTAATTTTTATTTTGTTTGAAAGATGGAGATCAAAGTCTTCCATCTGCTGGTTGATTCCCCAGATGTCTTGGAGCAAGAGACTCCACTCAGGTTTCCTGCTAGGGTGGCAGAGACTCGGGGGTTTGACCAGCTGGCTGCTGCCCCCGGGTACGCACAGCAGAAAGCCAGGATTGAGGGTGGAGCTGGACTGGACCCCAGGCCCTCTGTGAGGGGACTGTGTGCCCTGACCAGTGTCTTAACCGCTGCCAAGTGCCTGCCCCGCACCTGAGTGAGTGTTTTAAGTTGTTCCCCATCTTGTGTGGCTGGAGTCTGCAGCAGTGAGTCACTCTCTGAATCTTGATAGTTGGTGCTTGTTCAAGGTGGTTCTTGGAAGTGGCAGTGCCTAGGGAATGCTGTGCCCCCTTCCAGGAGGGCGGAGAAGACGCCTGCGCCCCTCTCCCGGAGGGGCACGGAGCCCTGAAGGTGAGTGCCGTCTCGGGCGGGTTCCCTTGCATTCTGGTGCGTTTAAAGACATGGTGTTCAAGGGTCATTTAAAAAACCTTCCTTAGGAATGACCTGTTCATTTCTTTTCTCTTTTTTTTTTTTGTTCCCTGAGCGTCTGGGTTAGTGAGCCTTTGTCAGTGACGTGTACTCTGCGTCTGTCTTGAGCTTATTGACCATTCTCTGACGTCATGGTGGTTTTGACCAGGTAGTTGACTTTAAAATGGCAGTCAAATGTTGTTACCCTGTTGTTACTGCCTTTGGGTTTTGAGTCCTAGAAAGATTTTTACTGCATTAAGTGAAGGAAAAGAGATTCATCCATGTTTATTTCTAACCTTTGATTTATTGCATTTACTTGGTAATGCCTGAGCCGTCAGGAGTTTATTCTTGGATAGGGTATGAGGTGTGGCTCTAAGTTGTTCTTTTGTTAAATGGCCACTCATTTCTTGTAGCCCCCTTTGTTAAGAAGTCAGTCTGCTCCGGTGATCTGAGATGCTGTGTGTCTTCAGTGGATGTGGGATTTTCATGTATAGTTGGGTCTGACTTTGGACTTGGCCTAAGTGCATAGATGTTTGTTGGAACGTGTGTTGGGATTACACCCGATTGTAAATGAGCTTAGAATTGCTCCGAAAGAGCAGAGCCTGTGTCTTCCAGGAGGTGTCACTGTTGTCTTTCTGTAGGTTCACGCACTGCCGTAGGTGGAGTTTTCGGTTTTACCTGTTAAGTGGTTGACTTTTTTATGTCTTGCTACTTGACTGTGTGGTTGTATTATTGTTTCTCTGGGTTTTTCAGGGGAAATGGACATTCTGTGTGAGCAGAAGTTCTGCCCCTTCCTTGTCTGTTCCTGAGTCTGTTGATTTCTCTGTCGGGTTGCAAGCTGGTACCTCCGGCCCAGCGCTGGGTAGCAGCAGGGAAGGGAGCTGTGGCGCTCCTGAGTCAGGTGCACGCCTCTACTCCCCACTAGGGGGCGCTGGCTTTGTGACTGAGGTGCGGAAAGTAACATCACACAAGGCTAGCTATCACATGTGCGTTTTGCTTGGTTTTCATCAAAACTTTGTGATGAATTCCATGTTTTTAAGTATTTGCAGGCTTGTTAATGTTATATCAGTTTACTAATATTGAACCAACCCTACTTTTTGAAAATCGATTCTTGGTCATAGTGCATCATTATCTCACTAGGATGCTGACTTCTCTAGTGGACAGTGCACAGGTGTCACCTTTGCTGATCCACCCATGGGGACCGCAGGGCTTCCCCACTCACGATCTCAGGCCACTTGACAGCGCACAGGTGTCACCTTTGCTGATCCACCCATGGGGACTGCAGGGCTTCCCTACTCATGATCTCAGGCCAGGTGGTGTCTGTCCTGGATGACTGGATTGCGTGCTAATGATAACTGCCTGTGCAAGTCATAATGTCCAGAAGGTTTTTTTCTTTTTATTTTAATTTGGAAATTGAGTTGGCCCAGACCCAGTGACCTAGCAGAAGGTCCTCCCTGTGTGGTTGCTAACCTGACCTGGGCTATTCTTCCATGAGAAGTAGCAGCAGTGCGGTTTCTTGCTTGCTGAACCCAGCGCAGCTTGATGGACACAGCTCACTTACACCGATGCTCCGGTGAGGCCATCTTGGGGCACAGCCCGACTGCAACTCTTGCATCCTGCCTGTGTGTTCATCGGGTTTGCATCAGAAATAACGTTTACCCAGCACATACTTCCATTTCAAATGCAAGGAGACTGTCAAACAAACCAGTGTAGAAGAACCACATTCGGGCTTGGCATTTGGCAAGCGGGCCTCACAGAACTCTGCCAGAGTGAGTGTGGGGTTGTGTCCTAGCTGTGGATCTTACAGGAACAACACCTCGGGTGGGAAGACAGGACAGTCCCAGGAGTCAGCTCCTCAATCCGCCCTCCCTCCCACCTGGCAAGGTCCCACAGGGCTGCAGCTAGACGGAAGGAGGAAGGAGGTGTTCCCCACCCATGATGCTGTGTGTATGCAAATGCCCCGGCAGGCTGGCATGGAAGCCTCGTCGGTGCAGGAGCATCCCAAAGCCGAGTGCCCACGTGCAAGCTGAGGGCATCCTGCGGGTGCCCGCTTCCCAAGCACGGGTCTGCTGTGCTCCTTCCTGCACACTGGTGTTGCTTCTTTGCAGTTTTTTTCTTTTTTCTTTTTTTTTTTAACCTGGTCTACTCTATTCTCTGTTTCAGCTTGAGCCCCAGCTACGTAGATCTGACTGAGTGTCCCTACATGTGGCCCTACTGCTCCCAGCCCATCTACTATGGAGGAATGCCGACAGTTGTTAATGTTACCATCCTCAACGGCATGGGAGTCACAGGAAGAATTGTAGATAAGGTGAAACATCTCCCTGACTTGCTCTCTGACTTGGTGAACTTGGACCCTAGGGCCTTTACAAGTGTTCATGTCACACACCTTCAGTCTCTGTGGAGTAAGGCTGTAAATTAATGCAACCGACTTAACCTTCGTGCCGTGACCCCAAGTGTGGCCTTTTCCTCTCTGTACCCTTTCCCACCTATAATCAAAGGCACAAGCATAGATTTTATTCCTGATTTGAATGAGTGAGCCTCTGTGTTTGGAAGATGGGGTCTTTCTTTTGATTTGGAATTTATTTAAGCATTTCTTAAATGCTTCATAGATAGGACAACAGCAAGATAGAAAGCTAGAACAGACAGGGCACTTGCAGCCCAGCGGACACTGTCTGAAAACTCTGGCGTGGTCCTTATCTGGGGAAATGCCTGTTTTTTGTCCTTGTGTGGCGGGCAGAGTTGTGCAGTCTGTAAGCATGCGGGACCCAGTTAGCTGCAGGGCGGCTGGGCCCTGGAGGCGGTGGGTGTGTCCTGCAGAGCCGGCTTGCTGATGTTTGCTTCCTGTGTCCCCTGGCTGGGACAGTTAGGTGGTTTTCAGCTGCAAGCATGTCACAGACTCTTGCACACGTGGCTCTTTGCTGTCTGTCAGCCGCCCGAATCCTGTGTCTGGGCATGAATGTTGGTAGGCTCCCCAGTGGGTTGCTTTGCCTGGCTGGCAGCCAGGGGTGTTCGGGGCTGGTGCCTCCACCATGCCTACCCTGGCTCGTTAGCTTTTTTTGATTCCATGAGGTTTTGTGTTTTTTTCAGTCGATATGATATAAACAGGATTCACCCTGTTAGGTGATTTGGTGATTTTTGTGTGTGTGTTCCCCATGTTGTGCCATCATCTTCCACCAGAGACTTCCTACTTGCTGGCAGTCGCTCTCCGTTTCCGCTGTCCCTCCGACTGCCGGCAGTCCTGGCTCGCGTGGATTTCTCTGATCTGTGTGTTGCTGTCAGCGGGAGCGTGCAGTGGGGTCTCCCTTTGTGACTGGCTTTCCCATGAGCTCAGTGTTCCTGCCTCATCCATTTGTGTTTATTTGTGCGTCCATTGGGTGGCGTTTGGCTTTCCCAGGCGGTTCTTTTGGGGAGCAGGGGTTGGATGTTCAGGGCATTTTGTTCGTAAAACAGCCGTAGAGTGGGTTATTTATTTATTTATTACTTTTTAAGTTAAGTGTTTGAAAGTCAGTGATACAGACAGGTATCACGTAAACATTGATTCCCTCATGTGTCCACAGCAGTGGGCCTCCCAGGTGACCTGTCAGCTATGTGCCAAGCTCGCCGGGGGCGCACTGTCCCCCAGGAGGGATGAAGTGGGTGTCTTGGTAGCGTGCTGTGAGGCTTCTGCGCCTGTCTCCCTTGGTTTTTTTTATTATTATTATTATTATTTCATTTTATGACACAGTTTCTTAGGCTCTGGGATTCCCCCAACCCCTCCCCATGCCCTCCTCATGGTGGATTCCTCCACCTGTTGCAGTATCACAGTTCAAATCCAGTCATGCTTCCTTCTTTGCAAGCATGTACCATGCGTGGAGTCCACCTGGCTCCCTTGCTGCCAGTGTGCGTTCGCTCACTCCCTTGGGCCCTTTTCTGCTGGGCCAGGGTTTCCTTGCCCAGCGCGGACAAGGTCCTCTGGCCCCGGGGAGCTGACCCCCTGCTCTGTTCCCTGTCCAAGTCCCCCACTCATGGCTGGGATAGCAGATTCTCTTGTAAAATTCACATTCAATTTTAATTTTTAATTATTTCTTTCGTGATTTCAAAGATTTGAAACTTAACTCTCTTGAAACATAGTAAAGCCTCGCTGTGTGCGCGTGCTTGCTGATTTGCTTCTGTGTAATGATTGAATGTGGAGTTTTTCCATTTGTGTTGATTTGATACATGATGTAAGGAATGTATAGGTGGTGGCTGTGTCTCTGTTTCTAGCCAGGAGTCCCAGGAACATTATCCTGCATTGTGCTGCTGTGTTCCACAGATATTTTTGTTTTCTAGATTTTTTTTTTGATGTGCTGACTCACTTGGAGAATGTGTTCTTACTGTGTGGCTGATGAGGGAAGTGAGTCATCTATGTCGGTGTGAAGGTACAGTATGAGTTGGATATAAGAGCGAATGTGTGTTTCTTCCAGATGGTCCTTTCTCACATGTCCTCCCTTTGTGCCTTCCTCCAGGCAGGAGGCCGGCAGGCCCAGCCCCCTGACCGCACGCCCGCCCTCCTGCCTGCCTGCCGCTGCCTTAGAGCGTCCTGTTCCTTCCTGTGAATGCAGTCCTCTTGTCTCACACCTGACAGTGGCCTGCTCTCAGCTCAGTTGTCCTGCACACTTCCCTCTGACAGTGGGGGGCACCTGTGACAGCTCTCAGGAGCAGTGGGTCCTGGCCTCTCCAGGGGCCTCTTCCTAAAAGGCCCTAAGGGACTCTGGCTATAGGTCGCTCCGTGTCTGTGTTTCTTAAAAATATGTTTAGTTATTTGAGAGGCAGAGTGTCAGAGAAGAGACAGATCTTCTGTCCACTGAGTTGTTCCCCAAATGACCACAGTGACCAGGGCCGGATTACACCGAACCCAGGCACCAGGACCTTCGTCCTGGTCTCCCGCGTGGGTGGTACATGTCCAAGCACGTGGCTGTCATCCAGTGCCTTTCTAGGTGAGTTTCCAGGGAGCTGGGTCAGAGGCAGAACAGCCAGGACTCTCACTAGCGCTCTGGTGTGGGATGCTGGCAGTGCCAGTGTGGCTCAGCCCACAGTCTCACGGCCCCAGCCCTGGCATTGCCAGTGCGGCTCAGCCCACCGCTTCACACCACCAGCCCTGGCATTGCCAGTGCGGCTCAGCCCACCGCCTCGTGGCACCAGTCCTGGGGTTTGTTGTGTGTTGGCCTATTTAATAGAGTAGGCTTCTGGGCACTTGGCCCCAGCCTGGCCCAGCCCTGACCAGTAGACAAAAAATCTCTTCCCCCCTTTCTCCCTTCCCTCCTGCCCTGTTATCGTTTAAAGAAATAAAATGAATGTCTTTTAGAAACTGATTTAGGTAGTTTAAAAACAGGTTTATCTGATTTCCACATATTTCTGTTAGAGAACTTAACTTTAATCTTTGCTTTTTTTTTTTTTAATTCCTGCAGCCTGACTGGCAGCCCTATCTGCCCCAGAATGGGGACAACATTGAAGTTGCCTTCTCTTACTCCTCAGTGCTGTGGCCTTGGTCAGGGTACTTGGCCATCTCCATTTCTGTGACCAAGAAAGCAGCCTCCTGGGAGGGCATTGCTCAGGGCCACGTCATGGTCACCATTGCTTCTCCCGCTGAGGTGGAGGTAAGGATGTACTACAAAGTGGCTCTTGCTCTTTCATTGTCCCTTGCTAGCATGCCACAGGTCTCGGGGTGAGGTGCTGCCTGTAGGTTGGCCTGGCCTTGCTGGCTGGTCCTGGGGCCTCAAGAGCCACCACCAGGGTTAAGTGCAAGCTGGTGAGTGAGTAGTGGTGCTTCCTGCTGCCTTCCCAGGTGTGGACAGTATCCGAGAGAGAGTTCGCATCTGCCGAGCAGCTGCCCTGCTGAGACGGGCCGGGACGAAGCCTGTCCTCCCGTGTGAGTGGCAGGGCCCCAGTCCTTGGGCAATCTTCTGCTTTTCTAGGCTGGGAGCAGCTGGGACTCGAACTGCCTCTGGATACTGGCACTGTAGCCAGCCCTGGAGGACTTGGGGACAGATTGTAATCTCAGAAGCAACCTACCACAAAGACATGTAGCGCTCCCCCCGTGTGCTGCTAGGGGCTAGGGGACAGAGAATCTGAAGCTTTAAAAGAATTCGAGTCATTGAGATTTGCTGTGGCTGGAAATTCTTGTGTTCAAATTATTCATGTCAAATTGGCAAATGGAATTGATCCTTTAAAATCTGGAAACCTGGAAGATTTTTCTGGGAAAGAGCAACATTTCAAGTTTCTTTCTTTCTTTTTTGTTGTTGTTGTCGTTGTTCGTTTGTTTTTTAAAGTCACAAAATGGCGCAGAGCAGACTTCAACGGTGAAGCTCCCAATGAAGGTGAAGATAATTCCGACTCCCCCTCGCAGCAAGAGGGTGCTCTGGGATCAGTACCACAACCTCCGCTATCCCCCCGGCTACTTCCCGAGGGACAACTTACGCATGAAGAACGACCCTTTGGACTGGTGAGCAGCCGCCAGATGCAGCGCTCTTGCACTCCACAGCCCGCCCGTGGGGAGTGGGCTCCGCTCTTGTGCTGCCCTGGGGGAGGGGACATTGCTTGGCTTGTGGCCCTGGACCAGCTCTTGGTCCATACTGAAAATGAGAGTAAGAGGGGCTTGGAAGCCCTGACCAGAAGACTTAAAGGGTCAGATATGCCTTTTATGAAGTAAGCTGTCTCTGGAGAGCAGATTCAGGAAGCTGTGATCAGAGGCAGGTGGGCAAGAAGCTGAGGGCAGTTGGCAGAAGTCCAGACTACAGGGCAGCACGTAGCGCCAGCGCTGTGCGGACGGCCTGAGCCCCTTGGGGCAGGGAGCTGCTCCCTGGGCTCCTCGCTGGGGAGACAGTCGGCAGAGTGCCCGTGGGAAGGCGAGCACATTCCAGAGAGGCGCAGAAGCACCGTCTGTGGCAGTGATTTCTGCTATGTTGTCATCCTGGTACTTGCTCTTGGGGCTCGTTCCAGCGTGTCTGCAGCCCCACGGCTGTGTGCTAAGCTAATTTGTCAGGTGCAGATGGTTGCTGGCAGTTTTCATGAATGCCCTGTGAAGTGATGCTTCAGTGCACTTCAAAAATAGGTGTGTGCTGTGCTTGCCGGGTCTTTTCCTTGTGTGCTGTGTCCACGGATTTCTCTCAGCAGCCCAGAGACTACAGGCACGGACAAGCAGGTCTCTGGCCCAGGGCTGCCATCCCTGGCCTGCCCCACTGGTCACTCTGCTGCATTTTTCTGGGTGCAGCCAGACTCCACAAGCTTGAACCTGTGTTCAGATGGGCCTCTTATAGGCCAGAAGTGGTCACGTTGATGCTGTGGCTTACTGCTTTTCAGGAATGGTGACCACGTCCACACCAACTTCAGGGACATGTACCAGCATCTGCGGAGCATGGGCTACTTTGTGGAAGTCCTCGGCTCCCCCTTCACGTGTTTTGATGCCAGTCAGTATGGTGAGCAGTCGCGGGGGGCTGGCCTGGGGCTCTTGTCGCTGACATTGGGCGGCTGTGAAACGTGTGGGGAAGGGAGCGTGTGTGTCTGCGCGTCCTCGTGGAGGGTGGGAGCGGGGCTGACAGGACAGCGTGCGGGGGCTGCGACGCTGCCCGAATGCCAAGCTCTCAGACCAAAGGGCACAGCATTTTGTGTAGAAGTTCTGGTCTACTGCTGCTCAAGCAGGTGAGAAGCCTCCGTGTTAGGCAGCACAGACGAGAACTAAGCCCGCTCCCCGGCCTTGCTTTGCTGGGCTCTGGTCCTTAGTCCCCCCGTGCAGCGGCGGGACGGCGTTCAGCCAGCAGACGGGAGGAGGCAGTCTGAGCGCCAGTTCTCTGTGAAGCCGTGTGTGTGTGTGTGTGTGTGTGACGCTTGCGTACCCAGGTCGCTGTTCTGAGCCGTGGCACTCTGTCTGCTAGGCACCTTGCTGATGGTGGACAGTGAGGAGGAGTACTTCCCCGAAGAGATCGCCAAACTGAGGAGGGACGTGGACAACGGCCTGTCGCTGATCGTCTTCAGCGACTGGTACAACACCTCAGTGATGAGAAAAGTCAAATTTTATGATGAAAACACAAGGTACTGAAAAGAGTGGGCATTTGAATGAGAAATGTGACTTGAATGTTTTTTAAGATTTTATTTTTATTGGAAAGTGAGATACACAGAGGAGAGACAGAATATCTTCAGGCCGCTGATTCACTCTGTAAGTGACCGCAACGGCCAGAGCTGAGCTGAAGCTATGAGCCCAGAGTCTCTTCTGGGTCTCCCATGCGGGTGCAGGGTTCCAAGGCTTTGGGCCGTCCTATGCTGCTTTCCCAGGCTACAAGCAGGGAGCTGGAAGGGAAGCAAGGCCACAAGAATTAGAACCGGCGCCCATATGGGATCCCAGTGCATAAAAGGCAAGAACTTTAGCCACTAGGCTACCACACTGGGCCCAACTTGAATTTCATTTTCTACAAGCCTTGGAAGCCCAGTGTCTTAAAGGGCTGATCTTTGTGTTTAGTAGAAACCCCCCTCCCCCACGAGGGTCTCCCTGGAGGAGAGCTCTGGGGGGCGTCTGCTTGGCAGCCTGAGAGCTGATTCAAGTCCTGGCAGAAATGATTTGTCATCTTTCCTCAAAATAGTTCACAATAAATGAATTATGATTGAGGATTCCCAGTGTGACTTAAACTTTTATAAACTTTTTTCTCATCATTTCCTGCTCCAGCCAGGTTAGATGACAGGTGCTAGTGGTGCTGGTCAAGGGGGCACCATCTTCACTTCATGGAGTGCATTCAGTTTCCATATGTTGCTCTGTTCTCGTGCCCCGATGCTCGGCCTCAGTTGAGAGGGCTGGATGGTGGCAGGAGAGACCCAGTGCTGTCCTAGGCAGGCAGTGCACATGGGGTGTTCCAGCTGCTGTATCTGCCGTCACCTTTACAGGCAGTGGTGGATGCCAGACACTGGAGGAGCCAACATCCCAGCCCTGAATGAGCTGCTGTCTGTGTGGGATATGGGGTTCAGCGATGGCCTGTATGAAGGGGAGTTCACCTTGGCAAACCATGACAGTAAGGCTTGGGGTTTGTGCTGCAGGGGGCGCTGATTCCCGGAGGGCTTGGGCACCCACACCTTTCAGTCACAGTTTGACTGAATGCGCTGGTTTCTCATTACGCCGGGCTGCGGAAGGAACCAGCCAGGATTTTCAAAATTACACCTGTAAAGCTGTATGATATACATATTTATTTAGTGCTAACCTATAAAGAGTCTGAAAAGTAAATATTCCCCAACAAGAGCTGCTTCCCAGGTTCCTGCCAACATGCCAACAGGGCCATTGGCAGTGCTGGCTGACAGCTCAGTCTCCTTCCGACGGGGGTTGCCAGCCCTGGCTCCGGGGGTGTCACATCTCTACTCTCACATCCGCGCAGGAATTTTGTTAATCCTGCTTTTCCTCCTTGGTTTAAGTTGATCCCCTGCAGTTTCTGGTGTTTGAAGGGTGCATGTGGCTTCTTGAGGTGCTGGGGGAGCTGTTCCGGGGTGTTCCGGGCCCTGTAAGCAGAGCTGCTGTTTTCTAGTGTACTACGCCTCGGGCTGCAGCATCGCCAGATTTCCAGAAGAGGGCATAGTGATCACACAGACTCTGAAGGACCAAGGTAACGGCCGTGGGCTTTCCCCTCTTGTCTTCTTGCTGTATGAAGATTTTTAAATGCTTGCTAAAGCTTGTTAGGGCAGTGCCTTTCCAGGTCTTCCTCAGCCTTGTGTGGGCCTCGCTGCAGAAGGCTCCAGTCCGCTTCCCCTGGGTCACTGTCCCTGGGCGAGCCAGGGAGGAGCAGGAGTGAATTGTGCCACCTTTGCTTCTCAAAGTAGGAGCATGGGGTGGGACGAAGCTGCCAACAGAAGCCATAGGACGCCCTTCCTGGGCCCGTCGCTCCCTTCCTGGGCTTGTCACTCCTCAGTTTCCGCTCTTCCCTGCAGACAGCCTGCATGCTCGGCAGGTGGCCCCTTGTCCTGCAAGGTCAAGTTCACTGTGTGGGAAGATTGCTGTCTTGCTGTAATTGGCATTAGGGACAGTTCTGCTAGTTGAAAAAGTAGGAGTTATTTACCTAGTTGCAACTGCAGTGTAGAATTGTGTTTTATTACCTGGACAGGAATTCTTTATTTCATCAGGAAAAGGTCAGCCAGTGCATACACGCGTGTCACAGGTCTGTGTGCTAATGTCCAGTGCGCAGTGACCATGTCTTCCTGGTCATTTGACACAGTTTTCTGTGATGTGCTGACTTATCTAGAAGCAGTTGGCTGACATTGTCACTTCGCTTGGAGAGGTGGACAGGGCTGGAGCAGAGGTCTGCTGGTTGACTGGCTCCCCTGCGACAGGGAGAGAAACCGGAAGTAGGTTGAAGGATGCGTGCCTCCGTGTGTTCTGGTGCAATCTGAAATAAAAACCAATTACCTTGAGGTGCTTTATAAAGGGTTTTTTATAAAGGCTTTAGGTTGGTTAATGCTTTTGATGCAAAACAGGACTTTGAAAATCTGTTTGCTGCATCAGAAAAGACCTTGTTGTCGAACTGTCAGGCTGGCGCCCTGTGGACGGCACTGGCACGCACGCTTCCCTTTCGTCTCTCCCTCCTCCCTCTGTAGGACAGCTCCTTTCTCTCCTCAGCTCCCGGGTAATTACAGAGAGCAGGCAATGTTGTGTTTGTTCAGCTGCAGACACACTGAACATGAATAAAGTGGAACACACTGCTCCCGATGAAGATGCGTGCCTCTTCCTGGTGCTGAGGAGATAACAGGGGAGTGCTGGGGAGGGGGCCGCTGACAGTGGCTTTTGAGGAAGTAGTTTAGCTCGTTACATGGTTTGTCATGAATAAGAAAATTCTGGCGTTGGAAGTCTTTTTTGTGAAATTAATACAGCAGGCTACTGTCACGGAAGCAGGGCATGGCAGAGACGATGAGCTTAGCAGTTCAGATCATGGTGATGGCACTGTTTCAAATTGGAGTGCCTGGGTTTCATATCTGGCTGCAACTTCCTGCTAACGTGATCCCTGGGACACAGCAGGTGCTAATGGCACAAGTTAGTGGGTTCCTGGCACCTGTGTGGGAAGCTTAGCTTGAGTTCCAGCTCTTGACCTTGGTGCCTCGCCTGAGGATGTTGCAGGCATTTGGGGAAACGAGCCACTGAACGGGAGATAATAAAATGCAAACCCAGCTGTCAGTATATGCAACTCTTTGCAGACTGGCTTTCTTTTGTCTAGAAAGTGTGGAAGTGGGACAAGAGTTGGTGTTGTGTGAAAAGGGAAAGTAGTTGGAAGGTTGTAAATGGGACCTTGCACAGTCTCAGGCAGCAGAGCAGGTGTGTGTAGAACTACTCGCTTACATGTACTTTGCTAAACCCAGACTGGTTGGTGGTGTCCAACACATGGCTTTCCTGCCCTGAAAGTTTGCACATTGATTAAATATTAGATTTTACAGATTTTGTTGTTGTTTGAATTAAATCTCTAACTGGAAAATAATTGGACAAAATTCATCTCTGGTTTTGTTGTTGTGTTGATTCAGGATTGGAAGTTTTAAAGCAAGAAACAGCAACTGTTGAAAATGTCCCCATTTTGGGACTGTATCAAACTCCAGCTGAGGGTGGAGGCCGCATCGTGCTGTATGGAGACTCCAACTGCCTGGATGACAGTCACCGACAGAAGGGTGAGAGCCAGCGCATGGGCTCAAGGTCTGTCCTCTCTGCTCAGTGGATGGGCACCTACTCCCAGGAGCTAGTGGGAGCTTCTGTTACTTGGAATATGCCAGTAGGTGTCCGAAGCAAAAGCCCTAGTTCTCCCTGTCTCCATCTTTACTGTCCGTAGGCAGGTGGTGTCCACCTCCTCTGTTCCGTGGACAGGCCCTTTCCCCTGTGGCCTAAGCACCTCTCCCACTTGTACAGCCCACAGCCTTCCTCAGGGAGGGGTGTGGTGGTGTTGCCACCTTTGAGAGTGAAGGGGCACAGCGGGCACTGCCGCCCCTGCCTCCACCCTCTCTGCTCCCTCCGGGTTAGGGGCTTAAAGCCAGGAGTGAGTGATGGAAGTGCTACACATTTTACCTGGATGAGACATGGCCTCTGAGTGCCTGCGTCTCACCCTTGTGTTGGCAGCCAACACACAGGCCCAGGAGTTGTCTGTGTGCCTCTTTTGAAGTTAGAGTTGATGTTGATTGAATTCCAGGCATTTATGTAAATCTTTGGGATGTGGCTGATTTTTTTCAAATATTAAAAGTGAGCATTCAAGTCATTGTTGAAAGATTAATGGCTTATTTCCAGAGAGAATCTAAGACCTGAGCTTTCCTGATACGAATCTTTATGAAAATTTCACATCTCTGGGGCCAGCCCAGTGGCTCAGGCTAATTCTGTATCTTGCAGTACCTGCATCCCATGTGGGTGCCAGTTCTAGTCCTTGGGCCTCTGCATTCACATGGGAGACCCAGAGGAAGCCCCTGGCTTTGGTTCAGCTCGGCCCTGGCTGGTGTGGCGAGATGGAAGACCTCTCTTTGTCTCTCCATGGGAGTGATCAGCAGCCCCCAACTCAGAGTCCCCCTGGTGCTTGTGCAGTGCCTCTCCGGGGGGTCAGTGTTTTCCAGGTCCTGTCTGCCCATTGGCCTGTGTCCCCATTCCCAAGACCATTCTTTCTGTTCTGTCCATGAGGGGCCCGGGGCGGAGTGTAGTCCTGGGCTGTTAGTGCAGCCCAGCATAACGTGGTGTGGACCTGTGTGCTGCGCTGGGCCTTTAGAGTGGAGCCCATGATTGGGCCCTGCCCTGCTGTGCTGAGCTCAGGATGGGGCCCTGATCAGGGGTTGTGTCTGCATGAGAATGGGGCACCACGATGCGCTGGATTTGCTTTCACCTGCTCTTCTGACTTGGGAACTCCTATCTTGCCCTTCCTTCTGGAGGCTAGCTAGATTTTTTTTTGTTCCTGTAGTTTCCTTTTTGGAAAAAGGAATTCCTAAACGATATGTTTATTGATTCTGCAGACTGCTTTTGGCTCCTGGATGCGCTCCTTCAGTACACATCCTATGGGGTGACCCCTCCCAGCCTCAGTCACTCTGGGAACCGGCAGCGTCCTCCCAGCGGAGCAGGCTCTGCCCCTCCAGAGAGGATGGAAGGTGAGTGGGCTGTGTGACGTCTCAGTGGGGTGACTGGATCTAGCTGAAGCGATGCTGCTGTGTGGTTGCGCTGGCCGGGGATGGAACCTCTTAGTGCTGACCACTGCTTGTGTTTGCTGACACACAGTGACAAGCGAGCAGGGTCTCCGCCTGCAGAGGGTTGTCCCCGTAGTGTCAGCATGGACAGTGACAGAGGGCCCCATGTGCAATTGCTTGCCTGTGGTCACCCCAGACCGCAGGTCAGAGCTGAGGGAGAACCACCAGGCGCTGAGAGCAGGTACAGGTACCAAGCTCCAGGCTGGGTGATCCTGTGAGAGTCGGTGTGATTTCCAGCTTGGTGATGAAGGCCCAGAGCTGAGGGAAGTGCAGTTACTGCCCTGGTCACCCAGACAGGCCTGTGGTGGAGCCTGGAGCTTGACATGGACCTAGAGGACATCTCGGGGTAGAGCCACGAGTTCCAGATGTGTGCACCACAAAGCAGTGCCTGAAACTAAGGGTGAGCCACAGGTGAAATCCATTTTAGTAACACTTTATCCCAGGGCATCGAAACAGTTTATTTAAGTACTTGATCCCCTTTCAGTGGCTCAGTAACAAGGCGTGGCCACAGGCCATGTTTAGTGATACAAATCTTAAAAATACAAGGAATTTAGAAAATGCAGGAGTTTGTTTTGGTTTTGGCCAGGGAATTAAATACTTTGGGGTGGGGGCAGATTTGCCTACATAAGCCTGTCTGAGGGTCAGCTTCCTTGGGGGTAGCCTGGGGTGTGCACAGTGTATGGCTCTTCCAGGGGAGTCCTGACACTTGGCTCAGCTCTGGCAGTGAGGGCATGTGGGGTGAGAGGAGCCGGGCGGCCACGGCCCCAGCTGCACAGAGATCGGCTGCCAGCTCAGCAGGCAGAGCAGCGCTGTTGACAGCACCTGTGCGTGGCATGATGCTGAGGCTTCCCCATGTTGTTGCTGTCGCTCGTACCATAGGAAACCATCTTCATCGGTACTCCAAGGTTCTAGAGGCCCATCTGGGAGACCCGAAGCCTCGTCCTCTGCCGGCATGTCCACACTTGTCTTGGGCCAAGCCACAGCCTTTGAATGAGACGGCACCCAGGTCAGTGCCTGCCTGCCCTCCCTCTCTGTCTGCAGGCCTGAGTCATGCCTCCTCTTTTTTGTTTTTGTTTTTGTTTTTTTTAAGGAGAGAGTTGCATTTTCCTGGTGTCGTTATGAAGTGATTAGATCTTTGAGTCAGCTGTTTCTTGGGGGATAACTAAATGCTGAGCTCCATGTTGACCTTTAGAAACGTTCTACATGAAAGAGTGCTTTCTGATGCAAGTAAACTGTGGTTTAAATCTTGTTGAAAAGCCATGAGCCTACCACCAAGTCACGTGACCAAAGCTCTGGCTCCTTAGCTTGGGTGCAGGGCTGCCCTGGGCCACTGTGCTCCCTGAGTGAGATGCTGTTGGGTGCGTCCTCTGTCATGCCTTGTGCCAGATTGCTGTGAGTACATGAGTACATTGGCTGTGCTGAGGGAGCCTGGCCACCTCTGGGGGATGGTGGCACGGCCCCCCCTGCTTGTCCTGGCACCCAGCAGTATGCTCTGCATGCCGCTTGCCATCCTTTGCGGTAGCCTTTGTTTGGTCACCCCTTCATGAGCCAGTTCAGTCCTTCCGGAAGGCGCCTCCTCCATTTCTGTCTGTGGCAGCCCTGCCTGCGTGGGCCACTGCAGAGAATGGGATGCCTCCTAAGTGCCTGGATGGGGTGCTGGGGCTTGCTCTGTTGAAGCACGGACTGTGTCCAGGGACAGCTGTCAGAATGTTTCTCCCAGTCTTCAGGCTGCCCAGCGTGCTGGGTGAGCAGCTGTGATGTGGCCCAAGGGCTGCTCTCGCTGGTGCGACTGGGAAGGCTCCGGAGGCTTCTCTGCTTTGCTGACTGTCATTGGCACTCCAGGGCCAGGGTGACAGAATCAGCTACTTATTGTCTCGTCAGCAGTTTTCTTCCTGAACTTTTAATTAATGAGTACTTTTCCATTCCCATTAACATCCCATCATTTAAAAATTTCTGAGAAGTTTCCATTTTTACATCCTGCTTATTTATAACCCGTTATTATTTGAGCGTTCAGCCCAGATTGCATATTCCAGCCGTGCTCCTCAGTTCCCTCTGTGAACGGCGCTTGCTGCAGTTGCAGGAGGGCAGCTGGTGGCCACAGTGTCCTTCTCTGGCTGCCTGTCCACATCAGATAATCCAGTACTGCACTGCTCTATCAGGCGATAATGTTCAGCTCCTGGAATTGGATTTTCAGAGTTCGTATCAGTAATTCCTTTTCCTTAACACGCTGCTGGCTCTCACTTTATCTCACATTTCACATCTTGCCGAGAACACTGCTTGGTCCCCAGACAGTTCCAAATCTTCAGAAGAGCCTGAGGTGACTGATGGCCCCACACACCCTGCGGCGGGCACCCTGACTCCTGGCATGGCTGCGGCTAGCCGTGCAGCCTGGGAAGACCCCCGCTCAGGGGGTATCGAGTGCAGTGACTGTTGCCATGGCTGCTTGTCTCAAAAGTGCTCTCACGAAATGATTAGCACCACAGCACAGGTTGTCACTGTGAGAATAAAAATAGAACCATGTAGGTTCTGCTGCAGAGTCATGGACCCTAAATGTCACTGAGCGTAGCCTAATGGCGTCGGTTTCATTTTCAGGCTGATGGATCAGGAATACAGAGTTTAGCCCAGCTGTGTAAAATACAACAGGCTCTGGTCCTCATTGGCATTTCCCATACCCCCTGTATCTGGGTGCTATGGTGCCTAGAAAGCCTCTCTCAGGCCTGGCTGGGCCTCAGCTCCCTGTGGACTGTCATCGGAGAGTAGGCCGGCTTGGCGCCTTTGCCTTCACCCAGCTAGGGACAGCATGGGTGAGCAGCGTCCCGGTGGATAAGCAGCAGGACGATAGGGAGGTCGACGTTTGCTAGCATCCTACTTTCCCTTGTCTGCCAGCTACAGCAGTTTTCAGATTTTCATTTGCATCTTTGTGCTGCTGAAGGTGTCTGTCCGCCCTCCAAGGTGTTCATTTCTGGTGTTTTGGTCTGAGGTTGGTGGTGCAGTACACCTCCCACGCCCTTCGCGGCTGCTCGCTCGCCAGCTTGGTGTGTGCCCCAGTCCCTTGGCTGCCTTGCTTTGTATTTGTCAGCGGGTGTTACCTGCTGTGGCGCTGCCTCGCAAAGGTTCTTAGTCTGTCCCTGTACCACCTCCTTCCAGAGCCTGTCCCAGAGGGTCTCGGGCTGCATGGTGACATTTCTGGCTCTGGGCACAAGTGGGTGCCTGGCAGCAGAGTCAGAACCCAGCCGAGCTGTGACAGGCTCATGAGCGGGGACTGCACTGGGGCGTTTTCCTGTGCCTGGGAGCGGTCGGCGCAGCTGCTGTCATAGTGGACTCCAGGAGATGCCGGCTGATGACTCTCTCGGAGCTGCTTCTGGATTACTTTCTCTTGGGACTGAGAGTATTTTAGGTTTTAAATATCTTTAGATTTTAGAATATTTTTATATCCATTCTGAGACAGCTTGGTGACGGGATTCCAGTCTCATGAAGTCCTGTGCTGGCACACAGCACTGGGAGTGTGCAGTCCGAGTCTTGTTGTATAGTACGTTCAGTGCTCCTGGGTCCACGAGGTCACTGTGGCATTTCCCTCTGGTGGTGCCATGTTGGTAGGCAGAAAATCTGATTTTGGAGGCTTTCTGGTTTCAGGCTTCTGGGTCAGGAGAGCCTCCCAGGCTCTTACAATTGCTTATGCTTGTTTTACTACATTTTTCTGAAGTAATCTTTGGAAACATCAAAAGTTGCTCTCCATCGACCTGGACAAAGTGGTGTTACCCAACTTCCGATCTAATCGCCCTCAAGTGCGGCCCTTGTCTCCTGGAGAAAGTGGTGCCTGGGACATGCCCGGAGGTGAGTTCTTGGTCTGCGGCTAGCCTGAGCCAGGCAAGTCTCCTTCACTCCCCTAGGAGACTGCCTTCTTGAGAACTGTAGAGGTCTTAGCCTTCCTTGTGGGTCAAATCAACATGAAATTAAGACTTCATTGTTTTGCTTAGAAACGTCTACACAACTTTTCAAACTTCAACTTCTTTTTACTATGACCAGGTGTTATGGCAGTTGTGAAAACATGCTCTGCCGTGCACCCCAGACACCCCAGGCACCTCGGCTGCTGGTCCACCATTGCTCCCACAGTCTCCTGCTGCCGGGATGGTCTTGACTGAGCTAGTGGGGCGGGGGTTGGAAGGAGAGTGAGTGCTCCTTAGGGTGTAATGCCTTCTGCTCCACGGCGCCTGGGGCTGAATTCACTCCGCGGGTGGGACTGCCTGGGACAGTTGGTTCAGATCATTCCCGTAGGACATGAGCAGCCCTTTGCTCTTTAGAGGCTGGCTCCCCTGACTGGGACTTCTCCAGGTTCTAGGAATTGACTAGAGGCTTTGAGTCAGAACGATGATGGTGAATTCTGGAACCCTCAGTGGGGCTCGGACGCATTCGTACTGCCATTCTAACTCATAGTCCTGCAGTGCCACTTCTGGTTTCCAGCCACTTGCAAAGTGTGCTGCTTATCCGCCGTGTCACCTGCCTTGCACCCCAGCTTGTGGAACCCCAGCACATTCTGACTTGCAGCCTGAGGCTGGGCCCGCTTCTGCGGCTCATAGGAAGCCCTTGGAACCTCTCTTGTCCCTTGTCTGGCAGGGTGGAGCTTTGGGGTCTGTGTCTGTCTGGGCTGAACCTGGGCAGGGCAGAGGCCAATGGGGACCCTGTCTGCTCTCCCACTCTGTGCATTCCTGTTGCCAGGGTGTAAAGTTGGGGTGTACCCACAAGCCCAGCTCCTGAGGCTCGCTGGGCATACGCAGTTGCTGCTGCATGTCCGCTGGCCCAGTAGAAGCTGCAGCCAAGCTCCGAGCTCCGGGCATTATCCTGGTTGTTCTCTGATGTCCTCTTGCAGGGATCATGCCTGGCCGCTACAACCAGGAGGTCGGTCAGACCATTCCCGTCTTCGCCTTCCTGGGAGCCATGGTGGTCCTGGCCTTCTTCGTGGTCCAGATCAACAAGGCCAAGAGCAGGCCAAAGCGGAGGAAGCCCCGGGTGAAGCGCCCACAGCTCGTGCAGCAGGTTCACCCACCCAGGACCCCGTCAGTGTGAGTGCAGACTGGCCGACCGGGAGGGGCTCTGGGGGTCTGCCTCTGCACAGGCCTCCAGAATGCCACTGTGAGGCTGTGGGTCTGCGCGCTGAATGAGTCTCCTGGCCTGGGGGACACAGGCCCGCCGTGCACCTGGAAACACCTCATGGCCGAGCCCAGCCTCGGTGACGTCACTCCAGGCAGCTGTGAGCACCAAAGACGAGCAGCACTGCAGAGGCCACGTGGGGCCGTGCGCCATGCGCTGGGAGAGCGGCGCGGGTCCGAGCAAGCTGCCGTGTGTTTGTGAACGGCTATTTTCTATATTTATTGTTGGGGAAAAGTCACTTTAAAGACTTGTGCTAATTGGAAGCAAAGCATTTTTTTTTTTTGGTCAATGGAATGCAGTTTTTTTACTATTACATCATTGAGGAAGAACGCAGATTCCATGATCTCCTTTTTTGGTGAAAGGACAGACTAATATTTGAGAGAAACCTTCACATATCTGTGAAACAGAGATCTTTGCTTTATTTTTATATCAACTGCCATCGTATTTTGTAATTGGGAATCTTCATCTCACCGTTGTTGGTGAAGACAGTTTTCAGTAATACACATTACGTGTATGAAGCTGACGAGCCTGTGTTAGGGGTCTTTTCCTACCTGTCCTTTTTCTCTGGAATGAGTTCTGAACCAGCCTGTCCGTTTTTTATTGAGATAAAATTCACATACCATAAAATTACCTGTTTGAAAGCACACGGCTGAGTGGTTCTTTCTGTGTTCCGGGTTCCGCGTCGTCATGCTGGCTCTCTGCTGGCGGGTTTGCATCGTTTCCCACTCACAGTGCGTGCCTCCCTCTGCCCTGCCGTCCCCGCTCGCTGTCCGCAGCTTCTTCTGCACCACGTGGTCCTTGCAGCCCCAGGTCTCCCTAGGTGTGGCCTGGCTTGTAGACGCTGCGCGTGGGGGCAGACCCTGGAAGGGCTCACTCCTCGGCTGGTGAGCATGGGAGTCATTGTGTAGAGTGCCACTAACAAGGCTTTGTACAAGGATTTGTGTGAACGTGTTTTTTGTTTCTGCTGAGTGTATGAAGGTGCTTCGTTCATGGGAAAAGGAAATTAAAACCTGATACACATTTTCCGTTAATTGGAGAAATGCCCTCTTAGACCTATGAATGAAAGGATGCCCAGTTGTGTGTGATTTGCTGAGGAGTTGCCAAAGGTTTTCCCAGAGCAGCTGCATCTTGGCTTTTTGCCAGCGCTGCGTGGGAGTTGGTCTGCATGTCCACACCGACGCTGGAGCCACCCGTCCCTGCTGCTCGCCTCCCCAGCAGTGATGGGGGAGGGTGGCGCTCACAGGTTTGGAGTTGCCCAGCCAGCAGCAGTGCTGGTACTGGCCATTGCCTCCTCCACTCCAGGGCCCTCTGCATGTTGTTGGAGTCTTTGCCGGTTAAGGAGCGTGTTCTGTGTCTTGATGGTTGGATTGTAAGAGCTGTTTATTCCAGACACCAGTTGCTTATCAGATACGTGACATGAAGTCGGTGCGTTGTGTTCTCAGCTTCCTTGTGGCATCCTTAGAGGCATCAAGATGCTCTCACCTCGACGAAGCTCAGATCGACTCTCCCTGACTGCTGGTGTTAGGTGTGGTTCCCAGGTAGCGTCTGCCTAACCGCTGACTGCCTGCCCAGCCTGGGTGTGTGCTGTGTCCTGGCCACGCACCTGCTGCTCACAGGGCAGGAGAACTGCCCAGAAGCAGATTGGGTGCCAACCAGGGGTGCTGAGGAGGCCATGGCCAGAAAACGGCCTCAGCCGAGGGTAGAGGGAGGAGCCGCTGAGGCTCCCACCTCTCCTTTGTGATGGTGTGTCCCTGGCAGGTCACGTGAGCTCCTTGCAGCCTAAACTGCACCCCAGTTGCTGCTGAAGCTCCCTGTGTCTGCCCTTGTGTGCCGTGAACCCCTGAAGTGCTCATTCCTGGCTCAACACAAGTGGCCAGGCTGTCAGTGTTTGGCGTACACTAGGCAGCCTGCGCAGCCTCAGAAGGCGGCCACGGTCTGAGCGTGGCTTTCCGTCCAGGCCGGGTGAAGAGCCATCACTCAGGGTGCCCCTTGTCTGCCAGCCAGTCCTCTCTGCCTGAGCCACTGTCCACTCCTCAGGGCTGTAAGAGCCAGGCTCGCTGATGCATCCTGGGGCCAGGTAGGTTATAGGAATGAGGACTGCAAGGGAGGCAGCAGCAGGAGGTGGTGGGCTGAGACCCACGGGGGCACCCTAGACCCTGTCTTGAGCAGCAAAACTTTCAATTTAAGCCTGAAATCTAGGTTATATAAAATCTCTAGAGTTTTAATGTTGCCGAGTGATTGAATGAAAGACCTATTTTGTGTGAAGCAGATGGTGTTTTGATTTCCACTGAAACATGATCCTGGCTGGCTGGGTGGTATGTGTGTGTGGAACGAAGTGCTGGAACAGGGAGCGCTGCCCTGGGGGATTTAGTGTCCAGGCTGGCTGTGTGGCCTGTGGCTGCTTGTTGCCTTGGGGAGCCTCATCCCCCAAAATGGCGCTGGGACCAGGAAGAGAGGTGCCTTTCCTGTGGACCCTGGTGGGGCTCTTGAGGTTGGTGTGCCTGTGCCTGTGTGCCTCCAGCACCAGCTGGATCCTGGTCCTGTGCCAAGCACCTGATGTACACCCAGAGTGTGCATACCCCTTGGAGATTTTGTGCACAAGTCCTGGCGTGAGCAGTGGGGCCACTACTGCGCTCATGGATGACAGTCACATGGCTCTGGGGACAGTGTCTAGGCCTTGCAGGGGGAGGACAGGGGCAGAGCAGCTGGCAGTGAAGGGGCCTGTGTGTGCAGATGGCCGCCACTGAGGGCACTGCTGGCTGTTGTGTGCAGGTGAGACGCCAGGCATGCCTTGTCCTGTGTCCAGGGCTCACCTGTTGGCTACTTTCTCTGCTGCTCTGTCCTGAAGCATGTCCCACGCGGAATGGCTCTGAGAGAACCCGGCTTTGGAAGCAGGCTCCCTGTGGTGCCCCTGGCTCTGGTGACATTCCAAGCATCACACCCAGCAGAGCCCAAGCACCCAGGTCTGGCCTGGGCTGGGCTCTGCAGCCTTTGCCCACCACCCATAGTTGAAGGATGCCCCTTTGCTGGAAAGTAATGGGTGTTACTTAGGGTTTGATTTCCTGGACACAGCCAAGAGGCGAAGATTCCTGGAGGTTTTCCTTTCCATGCAGTGTTAGAAAATCATGATGCTTTTGATACGTAAGCAGACGATAACATAGGATATGGTTTTGTTTGCTATCTGGAGTAGGGTACTGCAGCTGAATAGCTTAGAAATACAGTTATGGTCCTCAGCCCAGATTTTTTTTTTTTTAATTATTTTGACAATCTTTACATAGTTGATTAGGGCACAAAGGTCAAGGGCCACAGGAAAGTGGGTAAGACTATTGTTTCCATATTATTGTTATTTTCTGTATCTAGGATAAAGGGAGAAACCCAACCCAGCCTCCCACCCATCCTAGGTCCCCGACGTGGGGCATGCTCCCTGGGTCCTGCTCGAGTGGTTTTCATGGTTCAGTAGTTCTGAATTGCTGCCAGTCTCGCCATCCCAAGCACGATGAAGTTGCTGCAGAATCCACTGTGTGACATAGTCCACCCTACAGTCTCCATTTGCCCAGATTTTCGCTGCCAACACCTGGCTGGGGTAGTTGATTGATTTGTTCTGTTCTCTGTCCTGTTGTGGTGCCAGGTGTCCTCTGCAGGTTCCGATGGACTGCCATATCCTCCCTCTGCACTTGGATATGGTGTCCACTGCTCCGTCTGAGCCTCTGAGGACGCCCAGCTCTAACACTTGCACTCCATAGTCAGACCATGGAACCTGCACTTCTCTTCACAGTTGGGGTTCTGAGTCCGGCAGTTCAATTGGGGACTCACCCCAGATTTTCCTAAACTATTTGGGAAGGGCCTGAAAATCTGTTTTAAAAGCCCCTTCCCCTTACTGTGCATGCCAGCATTCCACTCATAAGCAAACACCTGCAGGGGTTCAGACAAGGCTGTCCATGCCGGTACATAGCTGCACTGTTTGTGGAATGATGCGTTCAGTGGAGGGTGAGTGGCCTGTGCGGGCAGGGGTTGCTCTTGAGGAGTGGGTTCCGGGACATAGTGCCATGCGACACTGGGCTGAGAGCAAGAAGGCAGGTGCAGAAGAACACCTCTTGGTGTTCCCCTTGGCAGGAAGTATCCAAAATGGGTATTTAACGCAGGTTAGTGGTTGCCGGGGAAAGGGGCCTTCCTGAGGAGCAATGAGAATGCTCTAGATTGTGATGTTGCAAGGCACTGGGAATATGTGTAAAGTGTTGGATCGGACTGTGACAAATGGCTGCGCCCACCCTCCGTGCTCACAGGTGTGCACCCAGCCCCAGGCGCTCTGCCTCGAGATGGTCTAGTGTGAGTGTGACCCAAGGGGTCAGGACCAAGGTGACCCTGCCCAGTGGTCCCCTCTGCCCACGGTGGTGGGAGCAAGTGAGCCTGAAGCTGGTCGAGAGTGCTCCTCTCACTCCTGCCTGAGACTTTTCTTCCTTGACGCACACTGGGTCTCCTGATCATAACACTGGAGAAGCAGCCCTGTGTGAGAGGGAGGGGATAGGGTGCTCGGTGAGGTTTGTGCCTTAGGGCTGTCACGGCAGGCCCAGGCTGGCTGTGGGGGGGAGCTGGGTCAGGGGGCTGGTGCATACTGCTGTAGCAAGGGCACTACGCATGGGGGCTTCCAGAAACCCAAACGCAGAAACACGGGTCTGGAGTTTGGAAGAGCGGAGTCCATCTCCCCGGGCTGAAGTCGGGGCATCTGCAGGGCTCGCTCCCTCAGGGAGCCCAGAGGCACTCTGCTTCCTTTTCCAGCTTCTAGAAGCCACCCACTGCCCCAGCACGTGACCCCTGCCTCTGCCTTCCAGCACTCCGTGCCAGTCTGCTGCTGTGTGACCCGGAACCCCTCTTGGCCCTGTAATAAGGACACCATGACAGGTAGGCTGCCCTGGGTGGCCCAGGTCACTGCCCACCTTGGTGTCCTCCGCTCAGCTCGCAGGCAGTGTGACGTGATGCAGAGACACCCGGGGCCCTTGGCAGGCATCCCGTGGGGTCCCAGGTAAACTGCTACTGCTGGGGATGCCCCAGGGTGTATGATGCTCCCTTCTCTGACACAGGGCACAGAGGAGTCTGCTGCGACCCTGCCCACTCAGAAGGGTGGCTGCCTGGTTGTGCTCACAGCACGGCCAGTTCTTAAAGAGGGAGCATTGCAGAACATGTGAAGCGCTCCTCCCGCCCCCACCCCGGACCAGCAGAATCCAAGAAAGCCAAGAGCGGGGCCGGCGTTGGCAACTTGAGGAATTCCTGGGTGATTGTGGAGCGGCCAAGGTTCGGAGCAGTGTCCCAGAAGACCAGGAAGCTCAAACGCAGGTGAGGGACTCGGGCATGCGTTCTCATTTCAATGCTTACAGCTGGCATTATGTCCTGCCCCTTCTGTGGGCACTGAACCCATAGAGTCGTGGTGGCCATCCCCACCAGCCAGCTGGGCCCCTAGTCCTGCTGTCTGCTGACCTGCATGGTCTCTGCAGTTGGAACACAAAGGGTACCTTGGAGTTCCAGGACCTTCTGCGTAGAGCCCCTGGCCTGTCTTGCTGCCTTCTCCAGGGAGGTCTCAGGAGGGCCCTCAGAGCCCCAGGATGGGCGGGGACCTGCCTGGAGGGCAGCATCAGTCCCTGGGGACCGA